TTCTCTGTCTAGATACACCAAACGTCACCAGTCAATAATGAAGGCCAGACACCGTCATCGATTTCCGGCCCGGTCAGTTATAAGATAACGATAATAGAAACAGCAGTGATACCTATACGCTATATGCTATAAATGTAAGCAAATGCACACAATTTCCTTTGAAAGGAAACACTAACCCACTGAACCTGTAGATAACTGTAATCAGATTACATTTAATAAAATTAACTACAGCTTGTACCTGTGTTCGAAGCGTACATCCGACATAACGAATGTTTACAAAAATTCACTTGTCTAATTAATAAAACGTTTGCTTCATGCAATCAGTTGATCGATGTCATCAATACATGGTGCTATGGTTGCACAAAAACCCGTCGAGACGCACAGACTGAGTGACTTAGACAGACACGGTATGCCTTGAGAGGTTTCCGGTTCGGGTCTAATGTGAAAATGTGCAAAAGGTTTAAGCATCTGTGTATTTTGCTAGGGAGCACAGATACACATATTATTATGGAGTACACAGATATGTTCTGTGATAGAGTGGGTATCAGGATTAAGAACAGAATTTCAGTATTAAGTACTGAGAATATTCTTATACCTATTAAAGAAGGGCCAAAATAAAAGTACCCTTAACCGACGAGCATGCGTGAAAAGATTGATGACTGTTGATGAAGCGAAAGAGGTATGTAGGAGTCATAGCAATTGGCGTTCCATAGTCTCTGCCATGGGGGTCATGGGAGACAGGCGTGAAGTTATGTATGTAATTTTTTATGGAAATTTGTATGAGCCAAAACACTTCGCTTCGCTATCACACCTAAAACCATCATTCTCCAACGACTCCAACGACGCAGTTATAACAAACAAAGAAAAAATTAACAATAAAAAATATAGATTCTTATTTCTATTAGGTTCTTAAAGTCTAATTCTTGTGTAAATTTTAATGTAAACAGTCACACGCGATACTTCTGTCCTCCCACTTTACTGTAGCAGATACCATTCATGCTTTTTACGTGCTGTCGGATAAGTAGAGAGTAAAGTTGCGGACGTAGAGCTGACATGTGTACACTTCTGTGAACCGAGTAGTACTTACTTTACTAATGTTAATTATATCGCAGCTCTGACGACGGATGTCATGCTCGTTTAGACGAACTATATCCATTGACAGTTGTCAATGGATATAGTTGCTCTAACTGAGAGTGTGTATGCGCAACTAGTTAAATTATTTGCCCACTATCCCGCAAACTAAGTATAAATGAAGCAGGTAAACAATAAAATTCATTGTTATACTCTATGTACGGTCGACGTCAAAAGTTGATGAAAAAGATGATTTTAAAAATCGAAAATGAACAAGCACCTTCAATGCAACACAAGATAATTATACGTATATTTATTTCGGGCGCTTGTAATGTTGACCGATTTAAATAATACGCTGTGCAGCGATTTTGAATCTAAATGTGTTCTTCTACTTTTATTATTTCTCTTTTTGTTGTTATTTTAATTGTGACTTAAACTTTTATGTATTTTGTAAATGAAATTTCTTTTTTGAGTAATATGACTTAGATGAATATACAATGTAAATTATTTAATGAATGAATGAAATGATACTAACCGTACATGTAAATTCCAAACTTCGCTTTTAACAAAAACAGAATAATAGTATGCATATTATTTAATATTAATTATTTCTTTTTTTATTGTGTTCTGGCTTCGCATCAACCGCTTCATTTCTCTGCACTTCCCTATGGACGACTGTCAGAGAATGCCTTAAGGCATTAAGTCCGCCATTCACTGTTATCTTTGGTGAAGAAGTAATAACAAATAAATAAATAAATAAATAATATTAGGAAACCTAGGTCGGTAGCTTAGTATCAAGTGTCATCACATTGCAGCCAATACTTGGTCGCACTTTCAAATAAATTGGCACCAACACATCTGTATGATACCGACCATAAGTACTACATAGTTCAAAAGTAGCTTCAGTAGAGAGATCTCTATCTAGGTAAGTATTATGGCAGCCGATAAAAATCTATTTCCCATCAAAGACCACCTACTCTGCCATAAACACACGATAAAGCTTTTCACAAAATATTACTGACACCGGTATCACCGTGGGTAGAATTTCCCCCGAGATAATGGTAACACTGATGGAGGCCATAAATGAAGTACAATTAAGTTTCTATTAAGTTACTCTCAACACGTATCGTGCTCGAGATCGGATGGTATAATTATGGACAACATGCCTCTGCTCAATCTACCGATATTAACATAAAACTCTGCTTATAGGTCACTAGACCACTGGGTCGTTTTTAGGGCTGTGCCACAAAGGGCTACAATGTGTTCCTACCAATAAAATGTGTCCCTACCAATAAAATTTTAAATAATATGTCTTTGTATGATATTTGTAGGCTTCGATGTGGAGCGGTCTCTTTTAGGTACTTGACAGTGTCAGTCACCCAATAAGAATAAGAATAAGAATAAGAACGTTTATTTGCACGAAGTATGGTAATTACAGGTAGTAATAATTATAAAAAATAGTCCCACATACATCGCCTACTGTTTTCGGCATGCAAAGTTAAGTTTTACAATATAATAAAATAAAGTTAATTTCTTACATTCAATAAAACCAATTACAAAAATGCTTACAACTAGGATAACATAATTATTTCTCCTAACATATTTTTATTACTTTTCTTCTTTATTCACATATTTATCATATTAGTGACTTACTAAATAACTTACTAAACTATTACTTACTAAATAACAACACACTTAATATTGCACACATTAAACTTTCATTGTAAGAAACTCATCTAAGGTGTAAAAGCAACTGTTTATTAGTAGTTTATTCAGTGTAATCTTAAATTTATTTAAAGGTAATTCTCTTATATGTTTAGGTATTTTGTTAAATATTTTAATCGATGTTATAATTATATGAGTTTTTTTGGCATAGTGTGCTTCTACATCTTATTACAGCAAGTCGCGTTGGATCTCTGGACGAATTCTTCTTATGATCTATTACCTTATTATAAAGTTCGGGATGTTTCTTTACAAATATTGCTATTTCTAATATGTACAGTGAGGTTAATGTTAATAATCCTAATTTTTTAAATAATGGTCTACATGATTCCAGAGGTCCCACGCCACAAATAGCACGAACACATTTTTTTTGAGCAATAAACACTCTTTTTGCGAACGAAGAGTTACCCCAGATAATTAATCCGTATCTTATGATAGACCCTATATAACCATGATACGCAGCCAGTGTTGTTTTAGTGCAAGAGACTTTTTTCAATTTTTTGAGTGCATACACAAACTTATTTATTTTATCGCACAGCATGTCCGTGTGTGGCTTCCATTTACAATTCCTGTCTAGCATAATGCCCAGAAATTTGGTCTCGTGTATTTCCTCTATTGGAATATTTTTATGTTAGATACTGAGTTTGTTATATAATTTGCTATGATTGGTTGAGTTTACGAATTGGAGTATTTTGGTTTTGGAGACATTAGCAGTTAGATTATTATGAGTGAGCCAGGTCATTATAGACGATATTGCGTGGTTTAGAGATAACTCATAATTTACAGTTTTATCTTCTGTAACTATTAATGATATATCGTCTGCAAATAAGATGCAATTATGCTCTGTGACTTGGGGAATATCATTTATATATAGCAGAAACAGAAGAGGACCCAGCACACTGCCCTGAGGAACACCAATATTTACCAACTAGCTATTTCCGCGCGGTTTCACACGCTCTGCTCAGCTCCTATTGGCCGTAGCGAGATGTTTTATAGTCTATACTCTCCCTCGATAAATGCGTTATCCAACACAAAGAGAATTATTCAAATCAGACTTTTAGTTCCGAAGATTAGCGTGTTCAAACAAACAAACAAAAAAACAAACTCTTCATAATATTAGTATAGATTGTATCATAGTTAGGTGGGATAGAAAATCTAGATATCAATATCTTGCGTGTAGTAGTTATAATTTAAAACCTTCGGACCTCCACTCTTTCGCGAAAATTTACCGAATGCTGCTAATACCCGTCCCTCAGTGGTTGCTCGTATTTTTAAGACATGCTCGGGTCCAATTTATTAATAAATCATAGTCTGTCACTGGATGGTAAACCTAGACGTTAGGGTAGCGATATCACATACATTATCATAATTGCCGGCTGTCATATTAGCTGTAACACGGGTCATTATTGCTCTCCACTGCGCCCATACAGCAGGTACACGACAACCTATGGATAACCAGTATAAACTGATCCTCGAGTGTCCGGAAAGGTTATACAAAGCGAGACAACGATAAACTGGTTATGGATAGCTCGATGTGTAGCTATGTGTACTTCGACGCAGGTGTACTCAGTGCAGCGCTTACGCATACATAGTGCGCTTAATCAGTATCCTTCGTTGAAATGACTGGATACCTAAATAAAATTGCTGGTCTATCTATGTTTAGAATTCTGTTAATCACATTGTACTGGCGTTTATTACATTCCTTCCTATTCTTCTTCGTGGAACATCTTTCGGCTTGGAAACCTAATCGGAAACAAAGTTATGACGAAATAAATTAAGTAGTTATCCACAATTAATTGTCGCGGAGAACTTAACGGGTTACCGGGGCTCCGGCTCGACGTGCAGGAGAAGAAACGGGGTGGTTTTTAGTCAGTATGAGTCTGACACACACTCCCTCCCGCTCCACCCAGGCGGGAGCAGTTATTCGATGATTTTCACCCCTTAAAAATCCACAATTACTATTACAAAAAGTCGTCACAATAGGATTAGTTACTCATAAACATGTTATTTAAATACGCCATTACTGCTACCTATTTGTAATACTTAAATAATTTCTAATTAATTAGGTACTTACCTAAGAAATTAATAAAAAATACCACCAAACTTTCCTACTGGGGAAGTCCCAAAGGAATTCTTAATTCCCAAGAACGGAATTAAATCGGTGTCTTTTAACCGCAAATGAAAAATAGTTTTAAATGACCACCAGTAGCAGCAATTAACAAAGTCATTAGTTTATCACGGTAACGGTGAAACAGTTCTGATATAAAGACAACATTAATTACGTACACTATCAGAGTGCTCTGTGGCGTCAACATGAAAGCAATGCGTTTGGTGAGTGACCTAAACTACTACTAGCTTACCTCTACATCACACTGTTCGATTCTTAAGAAACCATTTTAGTCGTTTATTCGCAACAATTGTATGTGTACAGTGCTGATTGTATTGTGAACTCTACTTACATCTATCTAAAAGTTTAAGAGGATGCGGTTCGACTTTTTTGATGCCAATATTGGCATTTCATAAGCCTCTTCTTCTTGCATTTACCTATGTTTGTTACCTACTTTGTCACCAAGTAAATAAAAGACACTTCAAACGTAAACAATTTATTTAAAATATTGTTTCCAGATTATGGTGCTGGGAGTCGCAGCTGTAGCGTACAGCATGCCGAGCAACTCACAAGGGAAGAACTTAATCACAGGCGTCTTCATTCCATCCGATGCCTTCCAAGACCTGCAGGACCGAGCCAACGCCAACTCCCCACAACAGTTTGTACAGAATCAACCCAGCTACCAACCGATTGCTGCAAACCAACCACAGTACCAGCCTGTGAACACGAACCAACCGAGCTACCAACCAATCAACTCCAACCAGCCGCAGTACCAGCCAGTCAACACGAACCAACCACAATACCAGCCTGTCAACACGAACCAACCACAATACCAATCGTACCCGGTCCAGAACCAACCAACAGTACTGACTAACCAGCCTGCCCAAGTCCAACAACCAACAAACAGCCAACCATTGTTGGTCCAGGAACGTTTGGGCAACGACGCGCCGGTATTGACCAACCAGCCTTTGAGTAACAGCCAACCAATAAACGTGCAACCTGTAATATCCAACCAGCCCAATGTGGTGTACACCCAAGAACCATTGTCGGCAAACAGTGACTCAAACCAGCCCCTTGTGGTTATGGCTAATCAACCAAATGTACAAGGTAGCCCGTCCATATTGTTGGTTCAACAACCATCGGCCGCATCCAGTGCACCAATCTACGTTCAGCAGCAACCGAACCAAGTGCAACCTGCTCAAGTGATCTTTGCCAGCAATCCCTCGAATGGTAACCAGTTACAAGGAGCGGGCTCTACGGTCTACACTCTGATACCTCTGAATGCACAGAACGCTGTAAACAGTAATCCAGGAGGCTCTTACTTAATCCCTGTACAGTCAAGTAATTCCAACCCGATCATATTGAGCACAGGAAACTAGAAATATTATAGTCGCTTTATTATCGTAGGTAATATTTATTTGCAATAAATAGCTAGTTTAATTAATTGTGAACGACTGTATTTTAACTCGCCTTTACTATTTCTAAACACCCGAACAAGAATTTGAATATGAAATGTAAATTATTAGGATATAAAAAGATATGGGCTCTGAACCTAACAACCTACTCCAAGTTCCAGTACTAAACTTACTATAATGAAGTACTTGATCATACTGGGTGAATCATGTTAATAATCCGGTACTATGTTACCTGTGGTGTTAAACCTCCCGCTGTCCTGTAATAGTTCGGAATCCCCGTGGGAAAAGGTTTATAGCTTAGAGATCATTAGCGCACATATTCTCAACATTTATTAAGAATTTATTAATTGGTTTCTGTTTAGTTTGTGTTTTATACCTCACAAACCAAATCAAATAAACATTATAAGTATCTACTTGTAAGTTAATGTGTATCTAACTTAAGTGTGCGGTCATTGCATTTAGGTACTACTTGGGTAGGAAAATGATACATAGATACTTATTACTTATGTGATTATTTCTTTTTCTAATCCATAGAAGAGGCATCTTTAGAGATTAGAATGGAATAAAAATTCCAGTTTGTTTCCATTCATTCATTGATAATTGAGTAATACCTAATTAATAATAATAAACCTTGTTGCTTTATTTTTATAGAAAGTTTTTTTAATTACTTACATACTAGAAATTTACTTAATGTATTCAATTGACTGTTTCTTTGATCGACTAGTCACAAAAAGTTCACCAACTGAAAAAGAGACTTCCAGCTAGATTACCAAGCAATAAAACAGAAAGTTACGATAATATAATAATTTGCTTATTCGCCGAGTCCTATTCCTACTTTATTACAATTTTATAAAACGAATAAATATTTGTTTAGTTTTTTAAATAAATTCATCTTATTTTGAGCAAATCATTTTTTTTATGTGTTGGAATACAATTCAAAACCGCTAATAATATTTTACGTATTTAGTTCAAACTACATCTGCAAGAAACAATTAATACAAAATCATATTTTTTGAAACCATGTTATTTTCAAAAAACAATTGTGCGCCCTCTATCTATTTTCACTCAGAACTTTTTGATCTCTTGTCTATGCCATTTTAGTCGATTAATGTTACGGAATCCCTAAAACGTCACAAAGCACTGACAGTTAAGTGAACGAAGCACATCACTAGTGTTTAAGCCAACATGGTGGTTGGAGTGCAAGTTATTATTTACGAAAATATTAGAGTTAATTAATTATTTGGTGTGATACTACAAAACCGTGACGATGTCATCCACAGAGCCTTCCCAGAATAAAACCTGGGAGCTCTCCCTGTATGAGCTTCACCGAACACCGCAGGAGGTCATTACGGACGCCACTGAAATCGCGGTGTCCCCCCGCAGTTTACATAGTGAATTGATGTGTCCAATTTGCTTAGACATGCTCAAAAAAACCATGACTACAAAAGAATGCCTCCACAGATTCTGTAACGATTGTATTATAACTGCCCTTCGTTCGGGCAATAAAGAATGTCCTACATGTCGAAAGAAGTTGGTGTCCAAACGGTCCCTGAGGCCTGACCCTAACTTTGATTTGTTGATCTCAAAGATATACCCCAGCAGAGACGAGTACGAAGCTCATCAGGAGCGTTTGTTGACTAAGCTGAGTATGTCGCACTCGCAGGCGTCGCTAGTGAACTCTATTACTGAGGGAATAAAGTTGCAATCTCAAAATAGGCCTCAAAGATCTAGAAAGAATCACGAGGAAAATAGTAATACGTCTAACTCGAATGGTAACACGGAAAATGCTCAAAATGGTAGTTCAGGAACAGCTCCGGCTGCTCCCAAAGATGGATCCTCGTCAATGAGCAACCCGAACCCTTCAGGCCAGTCCACTTCCAACCCCGCGAGTGTGAGGAGCACTCCATCTCCGGTGCCTTCCAATATCAGCTCCGTGTCAAAAAACACAAGCACCACTAAAAGAGCCAAGTCTATTTTAACATCAGAGCGCAGTGAGGAGAGTGAATCTAGTGATGGCAGGTTGGACTACTATTTGTTTATCTTTACTTATTAATTTCTTTTTATTTTTGTTATGGGATAAGCCGGTAAACAAGCAGACAGATCAATTGATGGTAAGCAATCGGTGTCACACATGATCACCTGGAACACTAAAGGCATTACAAGTGCTTTACTGGCCTTTTGGGGACTAGGATTAATTGGGCCTCCGGTAACCTCACTCGCATGATGAAACACAATGCAAGCGTTGCTTCACGATGGTTTTCTGTGAGGCCATGTTATCACTCTGTTAGAGCCGGCCCATTCGTGCCGAAGCATGGCTCTCCCACACTTAAAAAAGGTATTGTTGTTTCAATAAGTAACTATCTGAAATAGAGGTGTTTTTACCATTATCACCAATCTTCATTAACACCTTTTTCTATAAAGATAGAAACATCAATACCTATCTCTTTCCTAATTGAATCACAATTCCTCAGGCTTTAAAAGTAGGTTCCTAGTATGAAAGATTTGGCTGTGATACAGACTGGAAATATGTTAATATATTTGTTGTAATGTGTTTCAGAACTGAAGGAGAGAACTCAATGGATACAGAAGGAGAGGGTGAGCCTCTGAACCCTAATGAAATAGAGCTGGTCTTCAAGCCACATCCCACTGAAATGACGGGAGACAACCAACTGATGCGAGCTCTCCGAGACAGCTCAGTGAGATACTTGAAGACTACTGCCAATGCATCTGGTAAGTGTTGCCACCAACTGTTATAAAATTAAGTAATTGATTGCCGTACTGTATAAACCTTAAAAATATAATAGTGTACATGTCTTGTACTGAGAGTGACGTAACTAGTTTGTTGAGGTTAATACTCATCAAATTATTTTATTTTTGACTGAGGAATTTATAAAGTTAATTGTAATTACAATTAAATTGACTGTTTTCTTAATCAAATAACTTATCTTTTCAAACCTTATCTGAATAGATGTACTTGATATCATTTAACCTTTGGTATGTCCGAACACAGATCTACACGAGACAATGTGTTTTCTATTGTGTCTCATATACAAGAGGTTAGTTAATCCGTGAAGCAGTAAACTGTACTCAAATCTTATGACTATGTTTCCAGTGGACCACCTAAGCAAGTATTTGGCGATGCGTCTCACCCTCGACTTGGATGCAGAACTGCCAGAGGCGTATCGTTTGCTTAACTTCTGTATTTATGTTGCCCCGGCACCCGGTCAGTTTGTGCCATTGGCCGGCTCACAGACTCTACGCCAGATCAATGATAAATTCTGGAAGGTAAATATTTTCTTATTTAATTTATTTATTAACAACTCGAATTCTATTTATTTATGTAACTATTCCTTAACTTCAGTACTGTTCTACTGAACATAATAAATCTTAATTATTTATTTATACACAACATCGTAACTTTTTCCCTGAAGATGTAATATTCTGAATACGAAACACCGATTTTTTTCGGCATCTATTGTATGAGTCTCATATAAAAATCATTATCATACACTAGCAACATTTCCAGTCTTTTCTTTTTTAAACTAAGAAGTTTCGAAATCCAAAAACGTCTATATTATAAATAAATTTTACCTAATACCTTGGAAAAAAACAGACTTTGCTTATGCTTACCCATCACATTAGTGACCATCCGCAAGTCTATTTATGTAAGAATAACGTAATAATATTAAAAACAATGTTATATGGAATGCAGTTCTAATCTGGACAATAACATCCTTTCCTTGTTTATATTCCTTGCTGTAAATATAACCCTGTTTATTCTTCAGGTAAACAAACCTCTGGAAATGTACTACTCCTGGAAGAAAACTTAGATTTAAGCAACATTTTAGTTACATAACGAAATGGAAGTGCAGTGATAAAGTATTTATAAATAATTTTTATTGAACTGAATATAAACACGATTTAATGGAGACATGGACTCTTGATAATTGTGATATCGTTTAAATATATCTCAATATAAAGAAATATTTTAAGTTACTATTTAGTTATAAGCTGTCATTTGTTTTTATTCATTGAATTGTATCATATTTTTAAGTATTCAGAATTGATTTTAATGTAATTTAGGATTCCAATTGAAAATTGTAAATATTTTATAATTTCTTTACCAATACTGTTCTATTTTTTTTGTCTGTATTGAGCTGCATAAATTAATCGGTATTGAAGGATCAGAATTTTAGTACTCATTCCATAGAATATTACAGTAATTTTAAAGCATATTGAATACAGTACTTACAGTCATTTGATGTAATAATAATATGAATTGAATTTTAATAGAACACTAATCTTTTTAAATAAAAAATGTATTGTACAATTATTCGGCATTTCTTATTATAATGACAAATAAATAATAATGAATTTTTATTATAACGTATTGTCTTTTGTAACAGACCTGCACTTTGAATGATTGATGATTGATTGAATTTAGATTCGGTAGCACATTAATGTTTACAGAAAAAATATTCTTTGACTGATTTCATTTCCTATTGGTTTTGAACTAATGTAAACACAAACCCCCTACAAGGGACTCATAACATAAATAGTGAAAAGTGTAGTTACATTGTACAGTGGCATTAAGTGCCGTAATATGCACATCTGCCTACCCCTTCGAGGATAGAAGGCGTGTTGTAAACACAAAAATAGTGGTTTATGCAGAAGTAATGTATCCTAACTGTAAAGTAATTTATAGATTTACTAAGGATTCACAACTGGTCCATCAACTATGTATACAATATAAAAATATTTCGGATTCAGAAGCACAAATACAGACCAAATTAAATTGAAAATCATGCCACTAGTAGATATATGAAGTTGATGCAGTTCATTGTATGGCCTGTAGACAGTTATCGTTGCCTAACCATTGTTTTCCTTTTATATGTTATTGTAAAATGGAAATAATTTAATACTCATTAACGTAATTTTTTTCCTTATACACATGGTACACTTGTATGTAGATAATAACTATGCGGCCTGCGTACCTACGTGTCTGTTATTGCACTGCTAACTTCGAGCATGGAAGTGATCTGTAAAAGTATCATCTTATCTTATACTATTACTAGCGACCCGCCCTGGCTTTGCACGGGTGCAATATGCATGTATTATAGATATAAACCTTCCTTATGAATCACTCTATTAAAAAAAAACACTTCAAAATCCGTTGCGTAGTTTTAAAGATCTAAGCATACATAGGGACAGGCAGACGGCGGATAACGACTTTGTTTTATACTATGTAATATATATATAAAGCGGAAGAGTTTATTTTTTTGTTTGTTTGTTTGTTTGAACGCGCTAATCTCCGTAACTACAAGTCTGATTTGAATAATTCTTTTTGTGTTGGATAGCGCATTTATCGAGGATGGCTATAGGCTATAAAACATCACACTACGACCAATAGGAGCTGAGCAGAGCGTGTGAAACCGCGCGGAAGTTGCTGGTACTCTTAAATACTTATTAAGTTATATAAAGCCGAAGAATTTGTTTGAAAGCGCTAATCTCAGAAATTACTATTTTGTGATTTTTTTTTTGTTCTATAGTTCATTTTATCCAGGGAGGATATAAGCTATAAAACAACACGCTACAATATATAGGAGCCGAACAGCGGGTCAAACTAATCAAACAGTGCCCGCAACATTATGATCTAAATTACTGTACCTCGAATTATGCTGTAGTGTTCACAAGACACTTCATAGAATTTCAACCAAATACGAGGTCGAAGTACAGAATATCTTACTTTTTATATGTAGGACCCAAATGTGTCTAGACGTCAGTCAACCCATCACCTGTTCATAAGTCATTGGGCCAGGAGCCTTTAGATAAAAGCACAAATATTTATTTTTATTCAGTTGACACAGTTACACGACGGTAGAGCCGCCAGATGTCACATCCTGGTGAATCAACACACCTATACGAAAATAAATACGAATGAATAAAAAAAATCTAACATCTCACGATCTATTAGATCAATTAATTTAGCTATAAAACAAGTGGGACTTATAGGAAAATAAAAATAATAATAAATCGAAAAGATTCACACTTGCAACTGAATGTTTTATTCTAAACAGAAACATAACTAGAATAAGAATGTAAAATTAACATCGACATTCACAAATAATAGTATAACCTAGGTGCTAGCTTCATTAATCTAGGTAGTAGGCGTAGGTAGGTACTAGTGCTAGACTGCTAGCTTAATAAAAAAATAGTAAGGAATTTAAGTATTATATCCTTTTAATTCTTCCAACTAGTGTACTAAGATAATAGGTATAAATTAAAAATATATGTACATTATCCAAACATGTTATATGGACAATAATAAGCCAAAGTAATATTAAATAAATATGAACTTGAAGAAGCTCTCGCTGCTCTCAATTTGAGCATACAAATCGGCGCGAAGTTTTAAATCTATGGTAGGTAGGTAGGTCTAGGTATGTAGCTATACCCGATAGTGCCTGGCACTTCATGCGGGAAAATCGTGAATTTGTGAACTACATAGGTATATTATTAGGCATAGTTTGTACTTTATAACTCTTCTATTTGTCTTAACTTTGACATTAACTCTTTCTTTCAAAAACTATTGAGAACTTGCAGTTATGATAAATACAACAGAAGGCACAATTTTATTGTAAGCTTTTTTATTTATCTAAACTTTATTAAGTAAACGCTCTCTTAGCTTCGTGTACTCTCTTCGAAGTGCTTTCGTCGTCTCCACTTTCAATAATTCTAATCCTTCGACAATTCCTTCCCTATTATCTTCTTGTACAGCTGTGATCAACCTCTCCATAGTAACAAAATCGATTTCTTCAATTTTTTCAGCTTTATCTAACAAGTCGAGTACGTCATCCAGATAATTGCGGTGAGTTTGCGAGCCGCTTTCAGCATTCTCTTTGTAATTAAGCAATCTTTCTGTATTCTCCCAAACAAGCAGTGCTTTTTTTCCAGCTTTGAACTTTGAAGTGGACATAAAATTTCTGAATAATTTTCTACCTTTTTCGTCGTTAAGAACATTTTCGATTTTGTCCGTGAAACGATCCAAGTCGGCTTTTGGGATATCGTCGGCACTGCCGCAGGCAGTAAAACAATTATCCATTTTTATAACATTTGTGGGGCACTCCGCTTGTTTTGAAATGTTTATCGATCTTATAATACACAGTTAAGTCTACATTTTGAAACATACTTGATCACAGTACCTGCATTGTCCGTTTTACAAGTAAGAAGGTACTTAATAGACCAACAAAATCACACTAGTACTTAGCACAACACTTTTTAACTTTTAACGAAACGATGAATCACATAAAAGAAGTGAGGTTAACTACAAAAATAGGTTTCTATAAGACACGAACCGACACCTTCCGTGCACGGCGTAAATAAACTGCGTTTGTGAGAAGCCTTGCTTTGCGTTCGCGTATTGGTACGAGAAGTCACGAAGTTCACGATGTCGTTCGTGATAACGTAGTGCGCATGCTCGACTTTCATAGTCGTTTGAAAACTCCCGCCGCGTCTCAATAAAACACAGACACTCAGATAGATCTCAATAAAAATATCACGAGTTTGAAAATAACACAAAACAATATTATAACTAGGTAGCTAGCGTTGCTTACGAAGGTGTGAATGTGATTTGTATGAAAAATTACATCACTACAGGTAAAAAATCGCCGTGACCTCGGTCGATGACTGGCGTTGTTCATTCATGGGAATTAAATATCACCAAGGTGGAGCCAAGACAATGGCCTTACGTACACCGCTCCCCTACCTTGGTCCTCTTGAATTACGTCGAAAGCATACATAGGAAACCCGAAGTTATAAAGTTGTTTTGTTGCTATTGTGTGGTGACGCTCTATCTGGGCATATTATAATTTAAGATGACACGATTTAGTACTACTTGACGTGAAAGTGCATTGCAGTAAACAGTTTACTGTAAATTCTGAAACCCTTTTCGTGAACTGACACTCCATGAATTCCATCTAGACCTTAAATTCCTTAAAATAATCAAAGCTTACATAGCTAATTATTTTTGTTTTTTTTTTATAGGTACTTATTTCATTTTTTGCCCCACACTAGGATTTTCTGCTGGGTCGTGTGTGCTTTTACAAACATACAATATCACATACACATGACACCCAGACGCGAAAAAACAATTTATGGCTTACACTAAGAGTTGCTCCGTGCGGGAATCGAACCCGCTGCACGTTGCGCGGCAGCCGGTTGCCCAGCCACACCGATTATTATAAAATACATACCTACACGAAATTCATATTTATTTGTAAAGATGATTTGTGATCTCATTGCATTATTGCATTTTATTTCATTAAAGTCACTAAAGTGTTGATTGTCTCTTGTTCATTTTTAAAATAAACGTTGATTATTGTGTTCATACAATATTGTTTAATTTGAAAAATATACTTAATTATATTACACAATATTAAAATGCTGGTTACTATCAATAAGCATTAAGTGATATACATAAAAACGCATTTTTTCAATTATTCTGCTTAATGTTGAAAAACCGAAAATCTTGATTTGCGGCTAAAATCTCGACCGGAATCTCAACAAGATCTCGAACTGACCAATCTTGATTCAGAAAAAAGACGCCAAGATCTTGAATATTCAATCTTGGTCCAAGATTGCATTCCCTACCAACGGCAAGTAGAATGAAAAGATTCCATTTTACGTACAAATGACACGTTCAAATTCCGTGCGCTTTGGACGGAACCAGGTGTGACCAGCACCCACTACATCTGGCGACGAAAAAAGAAAAGTACTCTATCTTACTTAAGCCGAGTTACTAATAGCTATAAGTTGGCTATAGGTTGATGTGCTTCTGTTTCGACTTGGCGCTTTAATGAGCCTGAAACTAATCACTCTCTCTACGATTGAATTCTAATGGCCGATTTTTCCAACGCCATTTAAATTTTATCAGAGGAATACGTATGAATATTTGACAATTCTTCCACACTAAAAACTGTTAACTGTAAATTTTATATTCTACAGTTAAGAATTAACTGATGATTGTAAAATCAACCCTAAAAGCCCAAAAAATATATTGAAAGTCGAATGTATATTATATTCCATTGATACATCTTAACCCTTGTATCAGTGATTGTACTCTTCGAACTTATTATACTCTTTGATACTCTTGGATTGTATTACCAAGACCAAACATACAAACTCACTATTTTTTCCCATTTAATCAAGGACATCTACATTAATAACTCTACTCACTACTCATCATTGTTTAAAATTGCAAAATAGTTTGTAAGAACATTAAGTAATTAATTTTTTATTTGTATAGGTATATTTTAATAAATATTATTTAAAATTAGTACATTGATAATTTATAAAGTTTAAATAAGTAAATTTTATTTTAGTATTGTGTTGGCATGTTTCTGCTCTCTGTTGTGGAAACCACTAATTGGTTTTTTATTGCATACCCCATTCTATTTAATCAAATGGTATATAGCTTTTGGTTTTCCAAATATAGAAATAAATACATAAATAAATAAAAAATAATTATTATATTTTCCAGAACAAAATAAATAAAATTGAAGTAATGTAATTTTATTGTCTATGTTTTTTCATAGCAGAACTGCCAACATAATGGAAAAATGACGTTTAAGTCGGCCATTTTGCAGTTTTTACGGTAACTGCTATACACGTGTTTGGTAGGTTATTTGATAAATTATAATAAAATACTGAAAGTTTCATCATTAAAGTGTGTTATAAACTGTCTACCTACATTCCAGGTTGCCGAGATGGCAGTTGCAAAGAAACCCGTGGCTAAAAAAGCCCAACTGCACCAGAAGTCTGGTAAGAAGGGAGTCAAAGGTGGCAAAATCCGCGGTAAAGGCATCAAGCGGAAGATCAATCTGAAGTTCATGATCGACTGCACCCATCCGGCTGAAGACAGCATCCTCGATGTAGGCAACTTCGAAAAATATTTGAAGGAGCGTGTCAAAGTTGAGGGCAAAACAAATAACCTGGGCAATCACGTTGTCATCGCCAGGGACAAGACCAAGATCTCCATCAACGCAGGTTAGTGTGTATTCTTCTAATAATACTGCGGCATTAGTAGTTTAACTTATTGATATGGTGTCGAAACATAAGTTTGATCTTGTTCCAATCAAAGAAACACATTGTTTTCAAGTGAATTTTTTGTAAAAATTATCCACGTACCTATTTAATCAAAAATTTTTTGGTACTTGTAGAAGAGAAATTATAATAAAGTCTTCGTATATAATTATTTACTTATTGATTAATTAAATTGCATGATATTTTGTAAACATAACCTAAGCTTGGCTGCAGCCTACTCATCACTGTGAAATCTCATTGACCCAGCTCTTTAAGTAGAAGACATGTGAATTTGATTTTGTGTTATAGATAACTTCTAGTTCACCTAAAACTTTCATTTCAAAATCTTTTTCATGTCTGTAACACAATTTTTTCCATATAAATGTGTGATTACTGTAATTACGGGATCCTATACAACTATAATTATAGGTAAAGATACAAGGTTCTTCTCATAAGTAAAAAGTTTTAATACTTACTAATTAATTTGCAGATATTCCCTTCTCCAAGAGGTACCTGAAATACTTGACCAAGAGGTACCTCAAGAAGAACAACCTCCGTGATTGGCTGCGAGTAGTGGCATCTGCACACGACTCGTATGAACTCCGTTACTTCAACATCAATGCTGACAGTGACAATGAAGATAACGAAGATTAAGCTATTGATACAATAAAATAGTAATTTACAAAGCTTTACTTTTATTTGATGATCCCCGATGTTCTCAATTGACTTTCACCCTTTGGTTACATAGTATCCATAGTTTAGGCTTTGATGTTAAAATGAAAATGTTTGTTATTCAAGTAATATTTATGCACTGGGTTTTATACCCAAATGTTACTATTACATTGAACTTGTCACCAATTTGTTGTTATGTACAATTCATTCATACAGTAATTTCTACATGCCTTTCTAGCCAATGATGTTATAAGTAAATTTTACAACTCCGCGTGGTTACACCCGCTCTTCTCGGCGCCCATTGATCATAGCGTGATGTTTTATAAGTCTCTCGATAATTGGACTATCTACAGTCTATACAAAGAATTTTTCAAATCGGACCTGGTGGCGTATTATGACGTCGTGGTTCAGCTGAGGGAACGAGATTTCGCTAGATGACTTGCATAGCTGTTTCTTTCCCTCAATGGAACCATTCTGACTTTGGACATCATAATAACCCCGCTATAGTTCCTGAGATTAGCGGGATTAAAACAAACTATAAAATAAGTATACTGCCTCGTTGGCCGAGTGGTCGCAATTGCGACTGCCGGGTAAGGGGTCTCGGGTTCGATTTCCGGGTCGGGCAAAGTATTACTGGGTTTTTAAAAAAATCTCAGTAGTAGCACGGAGTCGGGAACTGTGCCCGGTATATGGCAATAGGCTCACCCCCTATTACATGGGACTCATAACATAAGTAGTGAAAAGTGGGTGTTACATTGTAATTACAGTGGTATAATGTGCACCTCTGCCTACCCCTTCGAGGATAAAAGGCGTGATGTTATGTTTATGTTATGTATATATTTATTTTTGTGTTAGGGAGTCTATTTGTTAAGGAAGGCTATAAAACACGCTATTATCAATAGCCCAGCAGAGCGCAGCTATACCGTTGACAAGTATAAGAGAGACTGCAATTGTCTAGTGCTTATTTGTAAATTCTAGAAGGTATTTCATTGATCGGTGGAGACGAGTCGTGTTTGTGAAGGTATCGCGTCTCTTTCCATACCATCGATCAATGTCTCGTTCGTTATGTTGCCCATCCTTATCAGGTATAAACCAACCCTCGTCTGCCTACATCCTATCGGCTAGTGGCAATTTCGAAATTGTTCAATACATTTTTTTACTTGTTTTATTCCAATAGAAATTAGAATCCATTCCGATTGCTAACCACTGACACAATTGCAAAGAAATTTTCCAATTTGTAAATAATAAAACTTTCGTGTTAGGTTCCACATCCACATACCTGTCTCCACGTTACAACCGCGCAGTCATTGTTTTTATAACTTCTGTAAATTGTGTTTTACAAATTCCTGTGTATCATGATGTCTACTGAACGCAATGAAGACGCTATAATTACTGCATAAGATAAACCTACTTACATCCAGAATAGGGGCAGCCGAGGTAGCTGTACACATTGCTCACCAGTTTTGTAAAGGGTTTCCGTGTTTGTATTGTAACTTTCGTGAGACATACTAAATAAATTATATGTTTTCGGCTTACGTAGTAATTTGCGAGTAGCAGCGCGACAGTCGCCGCGTCGCGGGTCGCGAAATGCTGCTAATGAATATGAGTCTCTAGCATGGCTTGAAACTAGTTGAGTTCCTCGTCAAATTACTACGTAAGCCGAAAACATAATAATTTGGTTTACGTGTTTTTGACTTCAAAGTCAAAATAGTACAAAGTAATTCACTGCCAGAGATTTTTTACAAATAGTGTAAATAAACAAACACATACAATTAATAAGTAACTTTTATTTCTCAAGTTTGGTAAATATGTACATAAATTAATATAAAATCATTATGACTTCATGATTTGTACTACAGCTAGTTTAAGATTCATCACCGCCGTGACTAAGTATTGTCTGAATAATGAGAAATGCGCTAAAAGTATATATTCAACTACATGGTAACAGCTTACTTGCACCGGGAGTAAAGGCAATAGTGATAACCCTAACATTACATTACATCAATAAGGCCGGGGTCCAATCATTTAAGAATTATCTCTATCACTGGTGTTTCATTACTGATATTATCACACGTTTTACGGTCTGTGGCGTACGGATCATTGATCAGTTCATCGATTTTAGCTAGCTATATAGTTTGATTTCATTCCACTCATTTTATGTTAATACTCAGTAGTTAGTAATAATTGATACTTCATAATGTTCTTGACATAATTAAAGCTTATACATAGAAATACATACTAAATTGATGTTCATGGCAAACAAAGCCTACTGAATACAATTACCTAACTTTATTCGACCGGCGATATAATACTAAAATCGATGTCGATAACTTTGATATTCCGATATCGATATTTGGTGGCACATTTGTATTTAAGAAACGCGGTCGACACGCGTTGGTGATATGTCCACCAGCGACATACAAACGCAGCACGTGATGTTTTTAATTTTGAATGGTACTACACTTCTAAAATTACCCTACTTTTGAGTTCGGGCGTCCAGTGCAAGATATTATTTATAAAATTGGGAGCGAGCGCGTTCACTTGGAAGCGATTTCCTTCATCCTGTTGAGTGCAGAGCCGGCCTTGAACCAGTCGATCTGCTGTTCGTTCAGTGAGTGGTTGAGCTTGATGCGTTCTGTCTTGCCATCTTGGTGCTTGATCTCGCAATCGACGGGCTAAAAGTATCGAAACGTATATTATCAAGAAATGATATAAAATATAGCAACGTTAATATTCATTACACTTAGAATCATTCGATTCTACATTAAGGAGTAGCTACCTTGCCAGGTGCGAGGTCCTTGAGTCCAAGCAGCGAGATTTTGTCGGTGGGCTGGATCTTGTCGTAGTCGGCGGGGTTGGCAAATGTCAGCGGCAATAGACCCTGCTTCTTCAAGTTGGTCTCGTGAATCCTGGAAAAAATCATAGCGTCGCGTTGTAAACACTAGTAATGTTTGTACTCTGGTGTTTGATGTTATTCTTACTTAGATTGACTGTGCATACAAAATGAAGTAATGACAGTTATAACAGCGTTGTTACCTAGCGAATGACTTGACAATGATGGCCCTGCCACCGAGGTGCCTGGGTTCGAGCGCGGCGTGCTCGCGGGAGGAGCCCTCGCCGTAGTTCTCGTCTCCGACGACGACCCACTTGATGCCGGCCGCCTTGTACGCGCGCGCCGTGGCGGGCACTGCGCCCCACTCGCCTGTCTTCTGGTTGCGGACCTTGTTCAGCTCACCGTTCTCAGCGTTTGTGGCGCTAAACAATAAAATTCACTATTGATTATTACTTGTTACAAGCATCACATACAGGTTGCACCTTTGTTATACTTCTGTCCCACCCATTTTAATATTTACGCAGCTTATCTGAGTAATTCTAATTACAACACCTACAATACAGTAATCACTTTCATTACTTTTATTAATCAGCTATCGGCGTCATTATGAAATTACCAGGAGATAACATTACAGTGTATAACCACTTACGTAATGAACATGTTGTTGGAGATGTTGTCGAGATGTCCTCTGTACTTGAGCCAGGGTCCGGCGGCGGAGATGTGGTCGGTGGTGCACTTGCCCTTCACCTTGATGAGGATTGTCATCTCGGTGAGGTCCTTGCCGTCCCACTTGTCGAAGGGCGCCAGTAGTTGCAGGCGGTCCGACGTGGGGCCACGTCTACTTGTACCTCTGTGTGGCGATAAAGATAAAATTATAGCTACATTGCCGCATGTCTTATCTTTTTAAGAATAGCGTAACTTTAGGATTTATAGTCCTGTTTATATTTATGGGATTAAAATTATTTTTAATGAAGTGTAACTGATGTCAAAAAGCGTTTAAAAGTGATATATCAAGTACGTACTGCTGCCGTCACTGGGTGGGTGCTGGTACGTGTCCTGGCCGGGATCGAAACCGCGAGCGGGGAGCTCGTCCGCGAAGGGGTCAGACAGTTTGAACTTCTTGCCGTCACTGCCCGTCAGAGAGTCCGTCAGAGGGTTGAAGTCCAGGCGACCTGCATATATGAACACGGTTATGTTAAGACAAGGAATATATATCTAGTGTTGCACAAGATTATTGTACTTAAGTAAATACAACAAGTCAATTGAGGGTGTTAATCATTGATGACATACAGTACCAGAGGAATAAAGACCAACTATATTTTTCTACATGAATTTATTACCAAAAAGGATGTAATCTCACCAGCAAGAGACAGAGCAGTGACGAGCTCGGGGCTGGTGACGAAGCAGTGTGTGGCGGGGTTGGCGTCGTTACGGCCGGTGAAGTTCCTGTTGTATGACGTCACGATTGTGTTCTTCTCGCCCTTCTTCACGTCCTTGCGGTCCCACTGACCGATGCACGGCCCGCACGCGTTAGCCAACACCTTTGATAGAATATATCACATATATTATTATTTGTTTTTTATTTTATAACAAAACTTAAAAGAATATATATTCTAAGGCAAAGATGTAAATTAAAGTTAGACTTTTACTATAAAGTTCGTTAACTTCTATTTCCATTTTCTATACTTCTTAAAACAATAGCTTAAGAACCGAATTCCTCAATCACTAGTGTTTAAAATCTTCTGACATGAAATAATTAGGATGATCGTGTAAAATTGTGTCTTTTGTATATCGTCCCTTAGCTTACAACACCGCTTAAGTCATTTTTACCAACTTTACAGGAGACGAAAAAAACTGTCTAATTTAAATAATCTGTGTTTTTTTTCTATTGCTACTTAGTACATACTCTAGTTAGCGGTTAAGAAATAATTATTTATACTTATTTTAACGATTTACTTTATTTTAACTTTTATTTTATGACTTGAGCGGTGTTGACTGATATTTTATTAGATTTAGGCGGTGTTGTTTGTGAAAATGTTAGGGATTAAGGTATTAAACTGTCAAATACCAAGCGGTCACCGGTGACCGCGACCCATTGTTCTTTAATTGTGTCTATAAAACCGGTACTCGACGAGTTAAAAGATGATTTGCAAATAAAAACTTTAATTAAAAAATATTTCAAGAAAATTAACACTCTTTATCTTATCTTTAAAAGGTATCTTATCTTAAATCTTAGGAATCACATTGTTGAGATCAATTGCTTAAAGTTATTTAGTTTACTAATAAAACCTCTAGTTGGAACGTAAATGAAATAATATTTTTTTTATATTAATAGGTAAATATTTTAAAATATTAATCTGGTTTAATAATCTCCAAAGAAATACATAATTATAATACAAATAAAAAAAATACTCAAAATTATTTAGTCTTTAGTTTAGTTGCAGTCTTTAGTGATTGCTGTGTGGAAGGTCATCATAAAAGAATGGCAATTAGATTGGCAATACACTTTTTAGGTCTTGCAATCCTGATACTTCCGCTTTGTAATTGGTATTCTAGCTGCGTACAATTTCTGCTAGCTTTATTTGTTTAATGCTGTTAATTGGCGTGGGGCGATGTGGGTAACGGGGTGAAGATCGTCATCAAAACTAACTTTATACCAAATTGTGCCATTTGGTCTGTATTCTAGCATACGTAAATCTGTGACGACGGGTCACCTGCTTTTTTACCAGGTCTTATAGATTTATAAATTAATTCTTTCGAAAAGTCTGTAAAAAAACTATAGTCTAAATAACGAGCTTCGTAGGGCATAGGATCACTCCTAGCAGTTTTACTTATAGCCATGTATTGATGTGGAAGGTAAATTTCTTTACCTTTTAATTTACACTCTATGGCACTATTGTACCGAATCACATTCCATGTGAGTATGGCCTTTTTCCAGGTACTTTTGAGTAATCAAAATATTTTTTTCAATCGCTAAACGTAATAGCATTGCTTAAGGTAACATTGCGATTTTGAGCACAACAACCATCGGAATATAAACCACAGGCAATAATTTTATACTCAAAACCTTCTCTAGATGGTCTACTAAGCATGAAGCAAAAACAGAGGCTTCAAGCGTACTATTTGACTCATCAAACCAATAACACATTACTTCCTTAGTTGCTATATTGTATAATGTAAAATTATGGACGCATAATTTAGTTTTGTAATAAATTGCACTAGCTTGAAGATACGGGGCTAATTTAACCGATTCCACATCCTGTGTGAACACGTGACAGGCTCCGGACTGTGCAATTCCTTTGTCAGTATCCTTCTCTTTCCTGGCTCGATCTTTCTTCAGAACATGTTGAGAGTATTCTTCATCAGTAATGTTTCCAGTTTTATGACTGCAACAAACGTCGCATTGATCTTTCTTTGGGTGGAATAGGCTAAGATTGAGTTTCAAAAATAATTTGTCAAATAATTTACGGCCAAGGCATTCTCTACCCTCTAATTCACAATTATCTTTATATGCGTGATAGAGCTGTGTCATGTTCGAGAAAATTGGTTCTAAATATTCTCGTGATGTTTTAGCACGACAGTAATGCGACGGCATCTTTGGAAGATCTGCTAAAAACTTTTCAACATGTTTGTGGTCTTCAATTTTCCCTGGATTTCTACGATTACTGGTTGAAGTAGACACATCGGGAGGCATAGCACAATCGGTTTTGTCAACCAATATCTTATAAACCAATCTTTAATTCCAAGAGTGGCCAAGAACATTTTTTTGCAGACTTGGTGACGAACATTATCAATCGTCAAAACGTAAGTTCGACTATCAGTTCTCTTGGATGATTCTGGATTTTTTGTAACTTTCTTCGGTACTTTATTAACGTGAGAAGTTATAAATGATCTTCGCTGCTCCCAGTTCATGTTCTTCCAGAAATTATCAAATAAATATTTACGCTGTTGCTCGTTTATGTTGTCACATGACCTGAGTTTGGATTTCTTGCAAAACGCAGAAGTGCATGGTGGTTTTATGGATCTTGCAGGCTTAAATACGTCTTGTTTCACTTTAAATGTTTCATTAATCTTTGCTTTTCTGTCTCTTCTGTAACCTAAATAATTTTCACCCTTCATCCGTAATTCTTTATTTATATTGCGTTTATATTTATTTGGATCTTTTGTCGCCTTGTTCTGTCGTTTTTTATGGCTTAACAAATCACCGTGATAAGCAACATTACTGAGTATGACCACTTTTGAAGAACATGATGGAGTAGCAGAGTCGCTGGATTGCTGTATATTGTTTTGGATTGTTTTATTTTCATCTGTGTTAATTACTCTATCCGAAACTGGGTCTTGAGTATTCGTAGTTAAAGCTTCAATGTCAATATTTCCTAGTTCTTGTATAACGTTCTCACATTCTACCGAGATATTGGCTACATTCAATGCAGAAGGCTGAGGATACTCGATGGTCACTGTAGCAAATTCGAGTGGTATATGTTGCAGATCAAAGAAGTCATTACCAACTTTTTCTACAACTTGTAGATTGTGAATGTCAATGTTTTCAATATTATCCAAGTCTATGTTCTGGTCAAATATTGTGTTTACATTATCCTGGCTACTTGTAATACTTTTTATAGACTCCCCGAAGCTTTGATCATTTATTGGTGTTGCAATAGTTTCATATTTATTAGTAGAATTGCATGCTTTAGTGTCAGAAGAATTAATGTTATTGTGTTTAAAATCTTCTGACATGAAATAATTAGGATGATCGTGTAAAATTGTGTCTTTTGTATATGATCAAAAATTTAAATAATAAAAGCATTGTTAAAACTTTAAACAATAGTAGTTAATGATAGCTATGTTCGTGTTTATCAGCGTCTTTCTCAGTTTGTTCACTTCCTGATACGTCAAACTAACTACTAGTTTAATTCTGTATTAAAGTTATAGTTAATGTATAAACAATAATAGCATGACAATAAATAAATTAATATTACTTTCTAAGATTATCTAGACACCACTGACAAACGGTGAAGGAAAACATCTAAGGAAACCTGGACTTATAGTTTGTAATCTCCAACCTGCATTGAGTAAGCGTAATGATTAATGCTCAAACCTTCTCTGTATGAGAAGAGGCTTTGCTCAGCAGTGGGCATTTATAGGCTGTTGATGTTAACGATGTTGAAAGAAATAGTTACTTTATGACATGTGTTATGTATGTATAATACATTTGCCATCTAATTCTACCAGCTGGTGTCGTGATAGCCGATAAATGGCCATTAGAGGCGTGACAAGGGAGGGGAAGAATAGGGCCTCCGGTAAGTTCACTCACGTGGCAAACAATGTTTCGGTTGTTTCAGGCCGATTTTCTCTGAGGCCGTGGATCAGTCTGGTCGAGTCGGCCCAGTCGTACTGAAGCATGGTTAATGAAGATGAAGATATTACATAGTGTTAGTGTACTCACAGTGCCTCCAAACTCTCGCAGTGTTTGTGCGATGCCGTCCCGCTCGATGGTGGCGCGGATCTGCTCCGAGCCAGGAGTCACGTTGAACGGAACTTTCGACTTAACGCCGTGCTTCAGCGCCTGTGCACAGAATTATGTGTTAAATATTCTCAAACAAATGCAGATGTAAATAAATATTTATAAATAAAGAGAGCGGAAATTAACTATACACCTGTCTTTTATTTTAACCATTAAACTTTTCCCATTTAAATATAATATTTTGTATTTCGCGATAATCCCTGTACAAAGAAGGTACGGTTTAAAATACATGATTGTACTGAAGATTTTACTATTCAAATACCTTTTAGAACTTATAGTAAATCGATAGATCGTATACTATTGACAAGTGGCTATAATAAAATATTTGTATTTGTTTACAAATTGATAACTGGCGTGTTATTAATGTGACATCGACTTTTGGTTCGATCGAATAAAAAACAAAGACCCGGAGATGATAAACTGGATGTAACCAGATATTTATCAAATTAAAGATAACTATAAAAATCAAAGTTACAATGGTGATGATTCAAATGTATTTAACTAAACATTTAATTTATTACAAGTCAACCTATGGGTAAAAAATTACTTAAATCTATGTAATTTTTTACCTATAACTTAAATAAAAAATATGAAGTCACGGAGTTAGTTTGACTTATGTTACCTCCTTGACGATGCTGGCGCAGCGTCCCATGTCTTCGTACGAGGAGTTGGTGCAGGAGCCGATGAGTCCGACGCGGATGTCGACGGGCCAGTCGTTCTTCTTGGCGATGTCGCCCAGCTTGCTGATAGGGTTCGCTAGATCCGGAGTGAACGGACCGTTCACGTGCGGCTCCAGAGTCGACAGGTCGATTTCCACAACCTGCGGATAATTATCAAGTTTTATTATAGTCATTTCATAACTCCAAAATCGTTGTTTTATATTTTATAATTATTTCAAATTAGTCCTACACCGAAATAAAATCGAATAAAATTATTGTTTTGTAGATTATTCCTTCTTTGTGGTGGAAAAGGTCACTGCAATTAGAGTTAGACAGAAACTTTAAAAATCTAAAATGATTTTAAAGCAAATAGCGCTTTACCTGGTCATAAGGTGCCTTAGAGTCGGGAGTGAGGAGGTGCTTGTACTTGTTGGCTAGTCCGGCGATGTCGCTGCGGCCAGTCGACTTCAGGTAGGCTTCCATACGGTTGTTGTAGGGAAACACCTATATAAGTTAATACATGTAATATGTATAACATATTTTAATTTTAAATAAATGTGAAAAATATAGTCAGATTTTGTTCAGCTGCAAGGCAAAATGCTTTTTGTACATTTTTATATAAAAAGGTTAATTTCTACATTCTACAATTTCAGAAGTCTTATTGACGCCTTGACAAAGTAAGAAAGAAGAAGGCGAGAGAATCATCTTTAGATGATTCTGACATTTCATAATGTAATACATAAACACACATTTGTTTTGATCTGTTGTCTAGACAGAAACGTGTATTAGATGAGTAATGCCTCATTAAGATAAAGTTATCAATAAGTATAGTGCCCTTGATCTGTCTATCTCGTGGCCGGGATTGCGTGCATATTTTAATAGGCACCATGTTCCCCTATTGGCCAAAGTGCAGTTCCAACACATCTTGTATTAGAATGAGAACAATTCATTTATTTATTTAACAGGTCACATATAAACGAACTCAAAGGACTTTAGACCTTATAAATAACAAAATAAACTTCCTTTTTATTTATCAACTTACGCTAGTGGTAGCTCCGATCTCAGCACCCATGTTGCAGATGGTGGCCATACCAGTGCAGGAGATGGAGTCGACACCGGGGCCGAAGTACTCCACGATGGCACCAGTACCTCCCTTCACCGTCAGGATGCCGGCGACCTTCAGGATCACGTCCTTCGGGCTCGTCCAGCCTTTCAGCTGACCTACAGTGCAAAAGGTGTTGAATTAGCATTGTATCTTATATATCATCGCTGCTGAAAGAAGCCTTGGTTCTTCCAACAAGGAGAAGGAATATTATTTTGTACTATTATATAAAGCGAAATAGTTTGTTTGTTTGTTTGTTTGAACGCGCTAATCTCCAGTAACTACAAGTCTGATTTGAATAATTCTTTTTGTGTTAAATAGTGCATTTATCGAGGATGGCCATAGGCTATAAAACATCACGCTTCGATCAATAAGAGCTGAGCAGAGCGTGTGAAACCGCGCTGAAGTAGCTAGCGTTTCATATAAAATCGGTAATCGGTTAAAGTGCAAAGCTCGTAAATGGTAATTTCAGTTGAGTTACTTTTGCAAATCTGGGAAAAGACATCTGATTGGTCTGTTCGGAGTTTTTGGAGCAGTGCCCAGTTTGGCAATTGGCTCGTCCGCTCATGCAATATGAGGTATTTTTAAGAAAAACGTGTGCATCTTTGCTTAACCCTTCAGTGAATAATCCTTGGGATTAAGCTTGTTCGATTTATAATCTGGAGCTAAGGGGCTATACTGTAAATGCAGAAAAATGGAGTGTGATATTTTGTCATAAAATTTCACTACCTAAAACACGTTGTTTTATCAGTCCCTGGGTTGCGCCCGCGCGTCATTGTTATCTACAACGCATGTAATTTTGGTCATAGTACTTTTTATTTTGATTGTTGATAACGAACCCCGACACACATAATGCAATATTTTAACTTTTAAATATTTATTTATTTATTTATAAATATAAAAAATATGGTGCTAAATTTTGAATTACATTTAGTTTCGTTCACAATCGGTAGATGTCGTTGCTAGTGAGAATTTACTCTACTCAGTAGAATCACAACAATGATATATTGATTAAGTAGTAATGTAACAATAACATAATACTAAATTCTTTGTTATTTATTTATTTATTTATTTATTTATTTTAATTCGGGTAACCAACAGCTATATAACAAATAATAAAATTTCAGAATATGCTAATACAAAGCCAATTATAGGTTTCCACGCGTAGCTATAGTATATCTTAACAGAGGTTTTGCGAATGCAATGCACATAAAAGTATAAAACATGGTAGTCATTCAAAAAAATTTAGGTTTAGTCGCCTACGCACCCCGGAACTGCTTGTGGTAAATGGATCAAGTCCTAAATCCTTGCACAATCTATTATAATCCCTACTCACTCGCACAATATAGGAATTTTGTCTATAATTTGAGGAAGAAGTTGGGACAGCAATTGGTGGGTTAAATCGAACCGACTTTTTCGGAACATTAAATGACAGCTTATGCAAAAGGTCTGTGCAATCGATTTCGCTATTCAGTATCTTGGCAAAATAAGTGCAATCCGCTATTCGACGGCGATTTATAAGTGGGTGGAGATGAAATTTTTTGCATAGTTCCATATAATTCTCCGATCGATACGGTATCTTCAGACGAAAACAAAGAAAGCGAATAAATCTTTTTTGGATGCTCTCAATGCGGTCTATGTACTTGTCATAGCAGGGGTTCCAGATACAACGGAAATTAAGCTATACTTAATGTTGTTTGAAATATATACTGAAACATTGTCACAAAATTCCATCACCTAATTTGCTTATTTGGAAAATATTGAGACTTTTCAGTTTCACATGTATTAGTATTCAGCCCACCTCGACCAGTTAATATCCTTATTTATCTACTTTTTTAAAACAGAATATAATAATATTTCTACATAAATAATGTTTATTAATATGTCAATATAAAGAAGAAAGTTCTTTTTATTATATTTTTATCTTGACATTGTGACCTACTCGAGATGTCTCACTGCACTTGTAGTTTTGTATAGTTGTACAATACAATTCTAGGCACGCGAGAAATGATCCGTCTTGCCAACTTAAAGAGACAAATATAATAATTAATTTGTTTGTTTACAGTTTTCATTTTATTGGTTTGCTTATAGGTAGGTGTAATAAATCCACTTTCTATACTATTCTATAGTGATTATATCGAGTAAGGGCCGATTTAACCAATGCCAATTTGACAATTCTTTCATACCAAAAACTCAAATGTCCATTTTATTCTACAGTTAGGAATTATCTGTTGAATGAATATCAGCCCTATAATAAGTATGAATTAGTAAAATTGACAGAATTTTCCAAAGCACTACGTAACTCCCAAAATAAATATGACTAAGTAGAACAATACGTTTTGTACTATGATTTTTTTATCTTAAGTCAAGATAATACAATAGCTAGCAATGTTTGTTTGGTAAATACATTGCATACTATTTAGAGAATATTTCATAATTCTACTCTCGAAAAGTAAATTAATAAGTGTAGCATGGTAGCACCTATGTAATTAAGACATTGCAATAACAAATAATACCTATATTCCTTCACGAACGGAAGTACCCACGTACTGAATTCTTACTGATTAGATAAAAACATTCGTTTACTTTCATTTTCTCTGATTATTTTACACTTCGTTTACCTTCGTTAGTAATTTCTGTAACAATAATGAGACTAGAAAACGCGCAGATAAATGTAGTGCGCAAAAGATATTATTAGTTCTTCGACAATGTATATACAAGTGTCATATATTTTTATTCGACTAAATATATTAGGTGCAACATTAATGACTTAATTTAATATTCTGCTGTGTACAGTTGCGTTTGTCCCTTCTATTTTTTTATTTATACAGCAGTCTAAATCTATATAGTGTTTTTGATGTGAGATTTATTATACTGGTACATTGCCTATTTATAAGGGTTTAAAATCACCTGCTACTTTCATCTCTGCACTACTTAAAGGTTGACTGGTAGACAATTCCCAAGGCATAAAGTCCACACTTGTTGTACTAAGTTGAAATAAAATAAAATAAATCTAAGTTAAAATATTAGTCTTTATTTGGCTTGTGTCATAAAAACACACGCTAAATGCGAGGCGCCTGACATTGACCTTATACTTAGCTGCGTAGTAATAAAATACCTACTCTAAATAGATGTACCTACAGTCAAAAATACATGACAAATTATACGATCTAAAATTCTAAATGCAAGTGATTTACATGTGCGGACATTGATCGGCAGGCCACGTGACATGTGCAAATTATATCAATTGAATGTGATCACTGCGTAGTAAGAAACTAGACTGAGATATATACAACTTATATAGACGTTTACTCGTGTGACCGAGTATTGCTCCTATTGCTAGTCACGTGAGGACAGGGTACGGAATCTCGATAACGATTTAAGACAAAGAGGTTGCTAAGTCAGAAATTTGAGATCAAAGAGATCTATTTATTAAATGTTCTAATAAAGAAATTCATGATTTTGCAATCGAATTTTCTCATTATCAATGCCAGTATTACTCAGAGACTTTATATTGATTTGGAGTAGAGCAAAAACTTTCATTATGTCTTTGATTAAACTGTCAAACACCAAGCAGTCACTGGTGACCGCAACCTATTGTTCTTTAATTGTGTCTATAAATACGGTACTCGACGAGTTAAATTAAATCCTGGTTCCAGGTAGATGGAGTTAGTTTGTCTTATTTTGTAGAATTCTGCTGAGCTACGAAGGCAAACCATAGTCATCCAATCATCTCATTATCATCATCATCATGTATCCAAAAGTATATACTTTTCTAGATAAGTATAAATTTTCCTGTCCTAATATAGTTAAAGTACTGTAAATGTTGACAGTATCATTATGAACATTTGGAGGACACCAAAGTGTAAATTAATAGTAAGATTATTATCTCTCGAGTGTTACCGTTCATGTTAGGTAACATCACAGTTCTATTATGAACTACAACATTAACTTGACTACTACATAGACCTCACGCTACATCAGTGCCATCTTGTGAGCAAAAAGTCAAAGGCAAAGCATTTATTTCAATTAAAACATAATTTGGTACTTTTGAAACGTCAACAAATACAAAATAAATAAAAATCTATCAGTCAGTCCGTCAGTGAAGCTAGGTGAAGCTAGGTGCTCAAAAAAACTGTAGTCCTCTCCTCTGGAAAGTTTGAGCTTGGACAGTACAAGGTCGTACTTGTAAAAACGATAACTCCTATCAAAAACTATATTGTGTATTATGTAATTGAACCGTTAAATATAGATTAAGTGTTGCAATATGAACATAACACATTTGTGGCAATAAACGCAGTATCAATGGCACCGCGTCATTGAATTCTTGTGTTTTATAAACAACACTCAAATCTGATATTTGTCGAATGGTTCCGTACATAAAAAGTGAAAAAATAACTGTCTATTTGTACCTGCGATTTGTGTTATTAAAATCTAATAGGTAGATAAGTATGTTTCGTTTTTATTTGTATCTTAATAAGCTAACGTAGCCAAAAATTGCACAATACATAAAGGCTACAGAAACATTATTCAATCAATCAGACAGTTTCCTACTGCTGCCCGCGGATCCCTAGAAAGTTCTTTCGCCCACTACACACTGACTTTGGCAGGTTGGCGCCCGGCCACGCGAATCACTCCGACCTATTTTTACATTACACACACAAACTTGCTATCTATGTGTACACAAAATTCTCGATGCAATCAAACCGTAAAGAAGACATGATCTTCAGAAAACATTGATAAGTTTAGAAAAACAATAGTATTTTTGATATGTATTGTCGAAATGGTGTGCAATATTTACTGTTCGCAATGTTTATACAAAGATATCAAGATATTTAAGTACCTACTGTTCTAATAGTGACGTCAATTTGAAAAACTATATTATATGGGTAACTTTTCAATGTCAACATTCAATAGGGTAGATGACTAATTTTATTTTAATGTCCATCTGGTAGATTGTTTTAAAACATTACATACGTATTTTTTATTTTTTTACAGAAACGAATACTTTCGACGATATATTGATTTGAAATGTCGCGTGACGTCACTTCTATGTACATTTTATACGTAGAAATTATGTTTTAGTCCCCACTCCTAAACTTTGATTCGTTATAATATCTAAGTATCATTTTATTATACAACAGAATAAAAAAAAACGTGTATAATATTTTTTCATTACCTAACTGACGGACTAATTACATTTTTAATTTTCATATCCCGTCATCATCCCTATTTTCTGCCAAGAAAGGAGACAAAAATATATGAGGTATCTGTGGGAACCAGATTTTACTTTCCCCACCTGTATAGTTTTATTTTTGTTTCCCTATAATATACCATTCTAAACGTGGGTCATAGAAAGGAATTGCAATGCAACAATGATGTATTTTTTCGGTATATATCTTACACATGTTTTTATACATAAAGAACAATATCGAGTGCAATATTATCATATAGTAGTACTATGTACACAAAGCACCGTTAATTAGTTAGCGGCGCTACACATCGACACAACTATCATTTACACAATATACATGTGTGGGTAATTTCATATCAATAGATATGTATAGAAACAATCGTCTATCACACACATCTTGGTATTTAAAAATCATTTTTGTGTCGGTATACGCAATAATTTAGTAAATAATTTTAAATAAAAACGAGGGTAAAGATAAAATTACTCATAACAAACTTTGAATAAATCGAAATCAAAAATAATGAACGATCGAGCTATACAATACCCATATAAATATAGTGCTTTCTCATTGTAATTTTATGTTACTGAATGATATAAAATATTTCGATGATCTCATCTACAGCGCGCTTGGCGCAATGGTTATCGCCTCCAATTGTCAAGTAAAGTGCCGCCGGATCGATTCCAACATTCACATGTTGTTTTAGAATTAATTTATCAAATATTTGAAATTTGAAATTAGAAACAATTAAATCTTTTCTTTTTTTTCCTTTCCTATTGTTCTAAATCTTATGTTAATTTTAATAGTAAATACTTTAGATTTATTTATACCTATAATATCTTTTATTTATATTTTAGTTCTAGTTATTTATTATTTAGAATAATCTCATTTGCTTCATGCATTTCAACCAACTTAAATAAGATAAAAACAGTAAAAAAGTAATTAACTGTGATTTCTTAATGGTTCGATACCTGAGTATATTTGCAATGTTTGTGGCGACCATAGAAATCTCGAGTCATTTTATTTTACACGCTTATGAAGTAACTACCGACTATTTAAAACATGTTTTTCAAATCACCCGACTTACAAAATAATTGCGTTCTTAGTTGTCAATTTATGAGGATTTCATAGTTTATTGCTACACTACTTATATTCGTGTGCAAAGTTATTTTTATTTTTACAAGATGTTCCAACACCTATCAACATTTAAAAAGGCTGAAACCATTGTTTTGCATGAGCAAAACATAACTAACAATAACTGAAATAGCAAGGCGTTTAATGATATCGGTGAGTAAATAAGATACTACGTTGATATTCTAAATAATATTTATTTCATTTTGTAACTCGACACACCTATCAATTTTTGCACTAGAATAAAATAATTATTGCAACTTATTATGAAGTTCAATATTATAAAGATATATTAATAATTTATTATTAATTGTATTGTAACTTGACTTGTTTTTGTTAGGAGTGTTTCTTTAAAACATATCTGGTTAGGGATTTTTATTCCTTACGCCACTACTTAATTATAAATTATTATTCTAACATTGTGTTTACTTATATTTATTATTATTTTTAAGTAACTTTAATTCCTGTAAAGTATTTCCTGGTATTTTAAATACTTATTTGTTTGGTATCAACAGAGGAGATCCATGCAGTTATGGGTGCACAGATATGCGGAGACCGGTGACGTTAAACATCGTCGACGTGGGCCTAAACCAAAGGCAAATTCATCGGCTCGGCACTACGACATCGTAGCCAGGCACATGGCTGATCCGTTCCTGCCAACCCGCACTACAGCGACAGCACTGAATGTTTTAATACAAACTGTACGGAGACACCTGCATTCTGGTTTAAGGTGCAGGAAGCCAGAGAAGAAAATATTGTTATCTGTGGTTCACCAGCAAAAGCGCTAAGAATTTGCTAAGGACTTTATTAATTTTGATTGGGCGAACAGTGTAATCATATTGAGCGACGAAAAGACTTTCAAGTCGGATAAGGATGGGCGTAAAATATTGTGAAGAAAAGATGGAGAAAGGTATACGAATTGCAACCTTCTGCCTTGTAGGATCAGTGATTGTATTGATTTCGGAATCAATTATTGAGCCTGTCAAACTCTGCCTTTATTAAAATTAACATAAAATAATGTTTAATTTTTTTAAGAATATTAAAATGCTGTCTAGAACATACGGTGAAGTGATGTTATTGTTTTGTGGTTAGAAATTGTCATAATTTCTTTCTATTCAACATGTTTATTCACTTCACTTTAATTTTTCATTAACAAATTTATTTAACTGCTTTCGAACTTGATTGACATATTATATTTACGCCCATCTTCAATTAATTTAAAGTTTCCCTGATTCTAAAGGTCATGAAAGTTAAAATCGTTCCATAGCATTCGTCACATTCTTTTTACTATCATACAGCCCACTGAATATTGAACCTTATAACAACCGTCGTAAAATAGATAATTAATGGAAGTTCAAACGACAAAAAGTCGCCCATTTCAAGAAATATTTTGACATGTAATTTTTTACATGTTTTACTTGTTTATTACTGTAAAACTGTAATTTAATAATACATTATATTATTAAATTACAAAACAAGAATGTTGTATATTTGTTTATTACCTACTTAATAAAAAATGTTGCTGCCATCGTATTACCGCTGTACCGCATGATATTTCCCGATTCGACTATGAGGTTTATTGTCATATCTATTAATTATGATTTAAAGAACTTTAAACTTAACATGTGGTATATAATTAATTATTAGATATAAATATTGAATATAAAACAACATATTTGTATAATAAATAAATTAATTGTAATAAAAAATAGTATTGTTTTATTTACCAACTCATTTGCTTCTTTTATAGCCTGATATTTATATTTTATGACAAAAAACAAAAAAAAAAAATAAGAAAAATAACAAGGTAAAATAAAATTAACTTTTAGCTGGAATAGAACCCACATCATTGATCCTTGAAAGACGATAAAAGCGTGCTCATTAACCAATCGACCACGAGCACTACGATAATGACAGTGAAAATGTCGGGTCATATCAATGATTGTAAATAGTTTTAACCTTACCTATGCATTAAATTATAAAAATACGTATACCGACACAAGAATGAAAATACCAATGTGAACGTGGTGGACGAATATTTTTATATACAGTTATATGAAATTACGCACACATGTACACTGTGTAAATGACAGTTGTGTCGATGTGTAGCGCTGCAACTAATTAGCGGTGCTTTGTGTACATAAGATAGACGGCAGTAAGTACATAGCGAGCTATTACTCTTCATCACCAGTTATATAGCGACGCGCTATCGAGTTTCTTTACAAGGTGACTTGGAAACACCAATTGAAATACCGCCGTGTGATTGGCAGACAAGAATTAGTTACCTACATGTGTTTACATAATGTATTGTTCTTAGTATGGACGTGTTAAGTGTTACATTTGTTTTTGTCAACATAGGTAGTAGTAAACGGAACTAGATGGCAATTTTTCTAGTTACTATGTATTTTGTTAAAACAAACTTGATAGAATAATGACGTTAATAATTCTCTAAGTGATTACACAGAACATAACATAACGTCACACCTTTAAATCCCCCAGGAGATATGCAGAACACATACACCATGTAGACGTTTCTCTAGTCATGTTATGATTCCAAGGTAATACAGGGGGTGAGTCTAGTACATGAGACATTAGGAGCTACACAATAGTAGACATTGAATGTAGCACCTGTTGCATAATATGCAACATATATTACTGTATCAACCACAAGCATATGCAATGCATATACCTAATATAGGCAATCGTAAAGCGTAGTAACCTTTTACTAATACCTAATACAGTATTATTTTTGATTTGATTACCGCATTAAAGATTTTTTACCCATTTATCAAAAAAATATTTGTATTTACTCACCAGTAAGCTTAACACCAATGACCTTGGGGCACTTGAGTTCCCATGGGATGCTGGCCATCACGTCGACGGCGTCAGCACCACCCACACCTACGCAACAGAAGAAATTTAATTAAACATTAACCTAATCTAGCATACACTATGAAAATAGATCTTAAAACACTCTATGAATGTAAAGAAAAATGTATTATGTTCTAGTGATAATGTAGGTACAATAATTCTTGTTTTAATTCTGTGTGATTCATGGTAGGCATGAGAAATTTGATCTGTTTGCTCTATGTTGATGCTGCTGATCTGGTTGACATTTATGAGCATTTTCAACTCCCTAATGATACTCATATTTTTTTCTACTACAACTGTAACATTTGTTAGTTTTATGTAACTGTTAAAGTACACATCTTATCTTTCATTTCTATCAAATCTAAACTTTATCTTTTAAATAACTAGCTACCTGGTATACATATGTATGCAATGTGTTACGAAATTATAATCTACCAGAAATATGCATAATTATTAATTTTGAGTAGATCTGATTCACATAGAATTAAACAGTAGGCTTCAAGTTAAAAATATGTAATGTAACTCATTACTTTTGAGTTTTCGTTTGTGATTGATTTGACCATATTAAGTTGCTAATGATAAATTAATCATTATTCAAATTATCTATGATTGAAGTTAGTCAGTTCTTAGTAAACTTAATAGCTTACCAATGCAAAGACCACCAAGACCGCCCCCGTTGGGTGTGTGAGAGTCAGTTCCGATCATAAGCAGTCCAGGGAAGGCGTAGTTCTCCAGGATGATCTGGTGGATAATACCGGAGCCTGGTTTCCAGAAACCGACGCCATATTTAGCTCCCGCCGTCTCCAAGAACTTGTATACCTCTTTGTTGATGTCCTAATAAAAAAAAATGTGTATAAATTGCATGGATTCACTAAAGATATTTGTTATGAGCTTATTTTCTGTATTGGGTCTTATAAATTGTGCAAAAACTTTTTAATGTGCGTTTTCCTATAGATTTTTTGTAATATATTTGTAGATTCTTTGACCATACACTTTTTTCTATAATAAGTTGTAATAATAATTAGTCAAACTACGTAGACACAATTGTACTAAACATTTAAACAGCCTTTGACATCCAAGTAATAAAATATCAGTGACTATACGTCACATATTTACGATAGTTGGTTTATTTTTAAATTGTTAACTTTTACAATACAACTTGTTTACATTATTGGATGCTGTCGTATGTCGTAGTGATATCGTACACACTTTATGTGACCTTTTACCTGATATTAAAAACAATAGTATTGAAAAAAATAACATATCACAGATTATTATAGACTATGTTTATAATAAACACATTGTAAATCTGTGGCTTACGACTCGATACTACTTAATCAATACAATCAATCCGGTTTTATTCGAATCTTACTGGAAAAGTTTAATCATTTTCGGCTTCAGTATTTATCAATATTTATTCAGTGATATTTCAAGTGAAAATGCGTATCTCAAAGGTAATAGGTATGTACTGGTTAATACTGGTTTAAGTCACTTCAAGGAGTTATACATAACATAACATCACGCCTTTTATCCCCGGAGGAGTGGGTAGAAGTGCATATTACGGCATGTAATGCCACTGTAGGTACAATCTAATACCCACTTTTCACTATTTATGTTATGAGTCCCTTGTAATAGGGGATGAGACTATTGCCATATACCAGCACAATACCGGACTCCGTGCTAATACTAAGATTTTTTAAAATCCCACTTATACTTTAGCCGACCGGGGAGCCTTTGCCGGGCTGTCGCTCTTGCAACCACTCGGACAACGAGGCAGTCAAGCAATGTGTGATACCTATCCCTATTAATTTCTAAAAATGTAAAAGGTGTACATTTTAAATGTAACACTTATTTTGTTATGAGATTCACATATTAAGGGGGTGAGATTGGTTCCACAAGACAGGGACTAGGGACAGTTCTAAGCTTCCTGCTTATAATAAAACTTTTATGTCTACTAAAAATAGTAAATATTGGTTTATAGTATCTCAAATAAGTGTTTAAATGTAATATTGTTTAAACAATTACTATATCCACTCTGTTTGAAACAAGGTAACAATGTTTATGAACAATTGGAAATAAATAAAACCATACATTTCATTTCTAGTTTATACACATAACATGACGTGATAGTTGACTTACCTTAGCTCTGGCTAAATCCTTGTCACCTCCGATCTGCGCCTCAATCAAGTGGTCGCAGTGGATGGTGGAGGGTACGGCGACGCGGGGCAGCCCTGACGAGATGAACTGCAACATGGCCATCTGTGCGGTGGCATCTTGCATGGCAACCCTGTCAGGTCGCAGGCGCAAGTAGCTTGTGCCTCGCTCGATTTGCTGTATGGAGAGAACATTTTAAGAGTGGTGTTTCGAAAATTTTGTAAAGTACTAACTTTCCTTGAAGAACTTATAAGATTTTATGTCTTATATATTCTTATAGGACCCTATTTTTTTAAGTTTAACTATTATACTGACATATTTTACATGCCCAAAAACTTTATAACATCTATTTTTATAATACACAGAAAAAGTATAGTTATAGTTAGTTACAGAGAAAATCAATAAACTCTTTACATTTTAAAATTAAATGCAGTTGGAAAAAACATCACAAAATTTGTAATTTAGATAATCTATAAGCATTGGCAGAGTTATCTGATAAGAAAAATATTAATAAATTCATTATGGTGTTTGTGACGTAAAACCAGTAGTAGTAATTGAAAACTGCACCTAATTTATTCAGCTGCAATAAACAGTTCATTCTACATACAGTTTCATTCTAGAACATGCTAGCAAAAGTAATAATTAATTAAATTATGTTATCAAAAATATATGCAGCTTTATTAATATTTAATCTAGTTTTATGTAATAAAAACACTACATTGATTTCCACTGTCTCCATAAATCTTCACTTATATATGTGTGTTATGTATGAGAAGGTGCTTAATTTGTGACAAAATTAAGGCATAATAACATAAGAAAATATCTCTAAAGCAATAACTAATAAAATACAGATTACAAAATGTTCATAAAATAGAGCTATTGCTATTAAGTATAGAGGTGATAATTTCAACTGTGAATAGAACAATCATTGAAAAAAATAGCAACATTTGTTATTGATAAGCTCACAATAATCCCTTTTATGATATGTTTTGTTTACAAACTATATACAAACAATATTTTTACAGGAGTAAGTAATATCAAATGTGACTATATCCATGTTATCATTTCTAGACTGTCCACAAATTATATTCTCTTGTATGCATACAGGAAAATGTCTTAAATATTGTTTTAAATTCGTCTTCTTTTATTTAACAGTGTTGCAAGGTTGGTATCCTTGTATAAAAAGGTCACACATTCTTGCTTATCTTTATTCAATGAATCACAAAATTTTCCTTGATAGAACAATACAGATTATATAACACATACCTGTCCTTTAGGGTCATCCAAGTGAGAGTACAGCACTTTCTCAGACAAGGTCATGTCACGACCTAACCTCTTCTTCACAACTTCCAAATTCTTGGTCAGCTTCTCGTAGGGCAGTGGGCTCTGGTCGAACTTCGACATCGCAACCTACAACACATCACAGGACCCTCAGAAACCATAATTGAGGCTTAACAACAGATTTTCATTGTTACAATGATTACATAACAACATCTTCTTATCAATGAAAACACTGGAAATATCACTTTTTTTCACTTTCTACGTACCTGGGCCGCCGCAGCGGTGAGGGGGGACACGCTGAAGCATCTTTGCTGGATCTCCAAGAGCACAGCTCGTGTCCTGGTTCCCTGATAAAAAAATATCAATTAGTACATTCTTGTCAGGACTACGTAACACAATGCGCTCCCTGCTCTCATTGCACTATAAATAACAAATATCTTGATAAATGCATTAATCACAACCCTTGTTGACCTCATATGGCTTAATTTACGTGACCCGACCTATCCATTCATGATGGTTTATCGGGATTTATTAATCGGTCGCAATTGCGATAATACCGTAAACAAACGTGAATTAGTTGCATTAATAATTACACTTATTAATGAAAGATAAATATTCCATACTTAAACTAAAACGTGGAATAATTTAGGAACTTGCCTGGCCATGCAAAACTCTCATACAGTGAGCCATGGTTCCCGGACTTTACACAATCAATTTGGATTTAAATAACAATTACACAATTAATTAAATTACGGCAACATCGATTTTATAAAATAAATAAAAATGCCTTAGAAATGGATCGATTAATAAAACACTGAAATTACACTCTCCACCAGTGCGTCCGCAGGATTGGATTGGCACTTTGGCAGTTTTTGACTTGTTCCCAACTTCCCACTTCTATTGCACACTTGACGTTATTACTGTGAAGTTGCCACAATCTAAACGACTGAACAAATTAGGGAAATAAATGAAAATTATGTTAATGACTGAAAATGTATGTATAATGTCTATACATACTTACAGATACATAAAATTGGAGTGTCTGTTTGTAATAATAAATTAATAACCGCTTTTTACTTCATGGACATGAATGTATATACGATAGGCATACTAAAATATGATTTTTTACAATTTTGGTCTGTCTGTTGGTCTGTTTTAGTCTTATCATATCAGTGGTGGAAAAACATAAGCTACATTTATTTTGGAAATTTGAAATAAAAAAGTGTTATTTTTTTATTTTATTTCTCAAGGACAACAAACAGCAGTATATTAAATATAACACGGGTGAGTAAAGTAATAGATTTAACAAATACGCTCCTCACGACGTTGCCACGGATAACCATAAATCTACTTATCAAACACAATGGAGCAAACATAGGGGTGATTTGCTAATTAATATTCTACGTGGACAAAGTCGCGGGTTACAGCTAGTTAGAAATAAAACACTATGATAAAATTTAATCTTTCTTTATATCTGCACACTGAATTTACTGAGCAATAAACTTACTTTTATGAAGTTTTGGTTGTCATTTTCGTACTGTTAACTTAAGTATAGTATTATTGTAAGTATACAGTTTAAATAAGTGTCATTTTAACTGTTTCATATTTTTACATAACCCATTAGTATAATTTAACCTGCGTCAAATTTCATATCGAACATCGTTGTTAAAACAAAGCCTTCTTATTATGAAAGGAAATATTAAACGCTTCTTTTCAAGCATGCTCGTCGGTTGAGGGTACTTTTAATTTGGCCTTCTTTAATATGTGTCCGTTATTCAGTATAGGTACGTGTCCGTCTAGGGCACCCTCTACCGACGGCCCCATTTATCCAATCTGTATAGGTACTTGTTTCGTTATTCTACTTTCATCCATCCTTTCTACATGTCTAAACCAGCGTAATATTCCCCTCCCAATCCTTGTCACTAAATCATCTTTCAATCAACACCTTTCTCTAATAACACTATTTATTACTCGATCACTCAATTTTAGTCTACACATACTTCTCAGGGCTCACATTTCCACCGCATTAATCCTGCTATCATGCTTCTTCTGCCACACCCATGATTCACTACCATACATAAGAGTTGGTGTTAATACACACTGCATTACAGCAAGTCGAGCTTTGCTGGATATCATTTTACTCGATATTACAGTGTCCTTTCAATATCCCCGTCACACTTTTCATCACTCGTATATAGTGATCCCAGATAAACAAACTAATTTTTTTTTATGGAATAGGAGGCAAACGAGCAGACGGTTCGCCTGATGGTAAGCGATCAACGCCGCCCATGAACACCCGCAACCCCAGAGGACTCACAGGTGCGTTGCCGGCCTTATTCACTTGTTTCAATTTTTCATCACCTAACCTGACATTTCATTACCTGACATTCTGTTATAATCTCATTTCTTTCTACTCCCAACACTTTTGTCTTATTCACATTTACTTTCATACCTTTCCTTTCAAATGCATCATTCATAAACAGTGATCATTCGTTATAACCATTTATTCTTAATCCACTCCCTCCTACTTTCAAATTGTTCAAATAGTTGTCCTTGAATGGGTTGAACAGCCAAGAAGATTCACATTTATGTCTCCAAATATTCAAAAACGTTTAAATTAGTTTGTAAGCTGGCTAAAGCACTTTACATTACTAATAAAATTAAGACTGCAGAAAATAAAATAAAAACTACCTGGAATATAATTAATGACGAGACAGGTAGAAATAAATCACGTAGTGCTGAATTTAATCTTAATACTGCGAATGGACGTATCAATTCAAATTATAAAGTTGCACAGGAATTTGAAAGTTTCTTTAAAAATATTCCGATTAAAACTACGGAAGCATTGAAATCATCTCCGACTCTTTCCGTTGAACTTCTTAAAAGTAATATCAATGAGTGCGTTTCTGAGTTTCGATTTCAATACACAAACCCCCAAGCAGTAATTAAAGCGTTCAAAGAGATCAAAGTTAAGTCTACTGAAGATCTCTGGGGCATGTCTGTTAGAGTGTGTAGATCTTTTATAGAGACTATAGCGCCTCATTTAGCGTTTATTTTTAATAAAAGTGTAGATCACGGAGTTTTCCCGGATTTAATGAAACATAGTAAAGTAGTTCCATTGTTTAAATCCGGTGATAGTGCAGAACCCAATAACTATAGGCCGGTCTCTATTTTGCCAGCGCTCAGCAAAGTGTTTGAAAGGCTGATGCTTTCTCAGATGTTGCGTCACTTTAACATGAATTCTATTTTTCATGATCAACAATACGGATTCACCAAAGGTCGCTGCACTACTGACGCGGGAGTAGCTCTAATTAAGCGGGTGTTCGCCTCTTGGGAAGAAGCACGGGATGCCATCGGCATATTTTGTGATCTTTCGAAGGCATTCGACTGTGTTGAGCATGAGACACTATTGCTGAAGCTGAAACACTACGGCATTCGGGGGACGTCGCTAAATCTGTTGAAATCATACCTTCAGGATAGGCAACTTAAAGTACAAGTAAATAAAGTAAATTCACAGGGTGCTAGCATATCTATGGGTGTACCGCAGGGCTCGATACTAGGTCCATTCTTATTTTTAGCGTACATAAATGACTTGCCCCATTTATTTAAAAATGAACCGCAGATGGTATTATTTGCTGATGACACTTCATTAGTTTTTAAAATTAATAGACGCACAAATAGTTATGACGACGTAAATAATGCCCTAATGAAAGTTCATAATTGGTTTACATTAAATAACTTAGTACTAAACAATAAAAAGACAAAATGTATTAAATTTGTTTTGCCAAATGTTAAAAGCAACGATTGTGACATATTATTGAATGGTGAGAAATTAGAGTTTGTAAAAGAGACAACTTTCCTGGGAATTACTGTAGACGACAAATTGCAATGGGGTCCTCACATTACATCATTAGCGGGACGATTGAGCTCTGCAGCTTATGCTGTCTGGAAGATACGACAGTTAACTGACATAGACACGGCAAGACTAGTGTATTTCAGTTACTTATAGCATTATGTCGTATGGCATCTTGCTGTGGGGACACGCTGCTGACATTGAATCTATCTTTATCTTACAAAAGCGCGCCGTCAGAGCTATCTACAATCTAGGTCGTCGCGAATCACTCAGAGAAAGGTTTAAGGAGATCAACATTATGACCGTTCCATGTCAATTTATTTATGAAAACATTATGTATGTTAGGAAAAACCTACAGTTATTTGGTAAAGTGTCGGACAGACACCACTATCAAACTAGACATAAGAATAGATTAAGTCAGCCAATTTCGAGATTAGCGAAAGTAAGTAAGTCGTTCATGGGATTCTGTGTTAAATGTTATAATAAGATACCAGGCGATGTACAACAACTAAATGAATCGAAATTTAAATTATGTATAAAGAAAACTTTATGTAGACAAGCATATTACAAACTTAATGAATATATAGAGGATAAAAATGCTTGGATGCAGGCTAGTCCGGCTCCACAGGATAACTAAAAACACTTGTTTTAATGAAATCGTAAATAATACAGCCATATTGCTAAATTGTATATTGTTTAACTTAGATAACCATTGTAAATGTGAGAGCCCTGTAATTAACTTAATATTAAATTAGATTAGTAGATTTCATTTGTGTCAGCTTGGAGTTGTCATGCTCACTCAAAGGTCTCATTGGCGGTGGCGCGTGCAGTGGATCGCTCGATTCCCTACAATATGGTTGAGTTGGGCGGTGCTGGTGTACGTGTCATGTTCGTGGACGGGCGCCGTCAACTGGGACTGGTCAGCTCCAGACTGTATTACTGTCCTTAAGGTTATTTTCTTTTTTGATCACTTTGACTGGATTTTAGTGTTACATTGTTCTCGCACAATCCAAACAGCAAAACTATGTAACTAGTAAATTGTATTGTGAACCTGATTGAAAAAGAGTAACCTATGGAGTTTCTTGCTCGTTCTTCTCCATAGGAATCTACGCCTTGGAATGAGCAAATAGCTTCACTTTAAATTTTTGTTTTTGTTGACGTTCAAAAGTGCCATTCTGGCCTAATTGAAATAAATGATTTTGATTTTTGACTTTGACTTTGACTTTGATGCTACTTCAGATTTAATAACAAGTCAGCTATTATATTTCAAGATTGAATATTATACAACTAATTTAAAAAAAAATTATGCTGCTTCAAAAAATTAGGGTATTTTTTTGTTTTATAGGGCATCTCTATGCGTTTCATTCTGCGTTAACTCTTTTTTTTGTTCTGAAAAATGGAATATGCATAAAAAGAACAGTTTTACAATTTTTGTAAATTTAAAATGATAGAAAATGATGTACTTTATTAACCAGCCGTAGCTTAGTCGTAAAACTAATAAATAATTGATATTAAATATGCAAATAAATAATACGAAAATGTGTGTTCTTCTTTCTTTGTCAATGTCAACTATCTGTCAATGTCTGTCGGAGTACTCGGAGTGTCGGATTAGAAATTTAATGTCAAAATAAATAAATGTCATTTTGTTTTTCTGATCAGAAAAAGTTATTTTTTTAGTAAATATTCATAAAAAACATTATTTAGAAATCACAAATAACAATAACAATCTCATGGTTTTTATTGATCCATAAATTTCTCGTATTTACTGCTTAACGATAGCAACCGAGCAAGCAAAAATGACGAACGCTACGATCCAGGTATACACCCACTTACTTATTTAAATGTTACTATTTGTTATATTTAACTTAGAAGAATAACTAAACATTGCAGAATACTGTCATCTACCATATATATGAGAGACAGTTTGTACTAAAATTTTATGAGGTTATTATAATGTTACTTATGTTTCTAGGAGATAGAAGGAATTGATGATTATTGGGGCCCTGCATTCCGTTCGATATACGAAGGAGAAGGCCACGAAGCGTTTGTACAACAGTTGGATGAACGGATAAAACAACATGACAAAGAAATTGAGAAGCTATGCAACTTTCATTATCAGGTAACAGAAATAAACACTATTTACTGTGGACTGGAATAAACAACTTACACTTAATTAATTAATGTATCTTCAGGAACTATTAATGGTCACTTTGTAAGTTGTCAACCCAATGCCATGTCGGACAATGATTATCAATGCTAGCAGAGGATGTACCTTTAACAGTTTTTGTTGGCACTTAGCCCTTTGAGTAGTCGCGGAGAACCTAACGGATAACCGGGGCTCCGGCTCGATGTGCAGGAGAAGGAACGGGGTGGTTTTTAGTCAGTAAGAGTCTGACACTCCCTTCCACCCCACCCAGGCGGGAGCAGTCATTCAACAATTTTCCCCCTTTAAAAAAAAAAGCCCTTTGAGTACCATCATTATAGACACAATTAAAGAACAATAGGTTGCGGTCACCGGTGTCCTCGCGGTGTTTGACAGTTTGAAGGCTTAAATATATTATTTATGTTTATTTTTAACAGTTATCTCCATCATGCTTACCAAGCATGGTGATTGTTGCAAACTCCTTTTATGTAGAGGAGGTCTACTAGTTCTGCCACTAATACTGGATTCTGTCACAAAATGCTTGTTAGTGATTATGACTGTCATCAAGTATGAAATTAGAAGAATGTTTTTATATGTACAGGGCTTTATTGACTCAATCCGTGAGTTACTACAAGTGCGGTCACATGCTGAGGAGTTGCATGCGGAGATATCTAATGTGGATGCCAATGTCAAAGACACCACTGACAGTAAGTATTTGCTGATTATTAAGTAGTTATAACATACTCCTTGTGTTAAATATGAGGCTTCAACACTTTTAAACTTTAAAATATTTATTTTTTTTTCTCTAATATATTAAACTGCTAGTATGCATGAAAGCAGAATTTACTATGATGGTGATTTAAAGAAGAGAAGGATTTTATGTATAATCAGTAAGCAATAGGCTCATCCCTTGTTACATGAGACTCGTAACATAAATAGGGAAAAGTGGGTGTTACATTGTTGTGTGTCATTAAAATTGTACAGTGTGTGCACTTCTGCATAACCCTTCGAGGATAAAAGGTGTGATGTTATGTGTTATTAAGCCAAGGCTACAAATGTCCTGTGACACGTATCAACAGCGACGGTGGGTGGAGTACCATGACATTGCCTGACTTTAAAAGTTTCATCTCCATATATCATGGCAGTACTGCAGTAAAATTAAAGTTAGAAAATATTGACTCTGAAAAAGAATAAAAATTGGGCTTTGAAATGATTATACCTATAATTTCTTCTTAAGGTTTATGTGCTAAAGCTGAAGAGTTGATACGAGCTAGAAGGGTGGAGCTGAACATTGCAGCTACTATAGAGAAGATGGAGCTGTGCCTGCCATTGCTGACCACATATTCCAAGCTGAAGTCTCAAGTGGAAGCTAAAAGGTGAGGTTTTTATAATTTACTAAAGACTCAAATTAAGTGTGTGGAAAATTCAAAATCGGAACAGCTTGTGATTGTAACAGATACTCTTTAATCTTTATGCACATCCCTGGCGTAAGGATAAATAAATGTTAATTAAATGATTGTTTCAAAGGTCCTATATTTACAATGTGTTATTCAAGTTGATGTTAGTCATATACAACATGTAACGTAATTAACACACACCCTCAAACACCCCAATTAGAATATTATGTTATAATCATAATACATACACTAAATTTTTAATTTAACATGTACATATGCATCCTTACTGGTCATGTCATAAGGTTTATTTTTCTTTATTTTTTATTTAATGATAGAATTTGTATGAATACAAATAAAACTGCGATTTTAAAAGTCTTATTGCTTTGACTTACGGTCCATTTCGATTTGTTTTAACAATACAATAATAAGTTAATTTGACAATAATTTCCGTATGTAGTTTTAATTATTTTTGGGATAAAAAATTACCTATACTAAAAATCATATAAACCGATTCAGGTAACGATTCTGAACAAACTATTTTCAGGATGTGCGTTATTTAAGTGACATGTTGTATTTTGACACATTTCATATGAAAAATAAGTATAATTATGCATCAGTATACATAACAGAATTTAATATTAGATAAAATAGGTATTTTTATGCAGTTTATAGCATCTTCGTTTGGATTTCAGATATTATCCAGCTTTGAAGACGTTAGAACAACTGGAGCACGTGTTGCTCCCGCGCGTCGGTCCGTACAAGTGGTGCGGGCAGATCTCAGCCGACATACCGCGGCTACGACAAGCTATACAGGACGCGTCCATGGCTGACCTCAGAGACTTCCTCGAAAATATACGAACACTTAGCCCACAGGTACATTGTTTAAGAGTTTATTGTATTAGATTTTGCTAGTCATTTTGTATGCATGTAAAATCCTTCAATAACGTCGAATTTTTGCGTTCCTTTAGTAGGAATTTCGACAAAAGCTCCGAAAGAAGTTGTGCACTTTTCATGACCAACTTGTACTGCCATTTTCCTAGACAATGTTTAATATTTAAAATATGTAATGATTTGCGTTTGGACTGTAGGTGGGAGCGATGGCTTTGAAGCAGACACAAGAAATGCTCGGAAGGAGTCTTGCAAGTATTGTCAAAAATAAAAAAGGTCAGTTATAAAAACTCCATAAACCACTACATGTGACATGGAATCTTGTCTCAACTGTTCACTTTAAATGAATTTTAAAAGGATGTAATTGACGGTAATCCCATATTAAGAGCTTATTGTAATTAGTTATTGTTTTCTAACTACAGATTTTCTTCCAGATATGGCAGTTTTAGGAATATCAGCGAAAGAGAACATTGGACCACAATGTCCCCACGAGTTGGTCGACTTCAGCCCTTTACATAGATGTCTGCATATCCACAGTGTGTTGGGCGCCAAGAATGACTTCATACAGTATTACAGGTACCGACATTGACTAGTAAACGTCGTAAGGACACAGTAGTCGTGACTTTCTAAATTGAACCTTAATGCTTCCAAAATAAAGCACATTTTTTTACATATTCTGTCATTTTCAGAGCTCAACGCAAACAGCAAGCCCGTCTAGTGTTGATCCCTGCATCAGTAAACTTGCACGACTCGATACAAGGCGTTAAGAACTACTTAAATGCAGTCCTAGGGTTCTTTATACTGGAGGAACATTTACTGAGCGCAGGCGCAGGGCTGGTGTCCAAAGACTGGTTGCTGGACATGTGGGGGATGTCGGTGACAAAAGTAGCTTCCACTTTGAGGACCAATACATCCCTAATTACGGATCCCACGCTCATGCTGAGTATCAAACACCAGATCGTACTGTTTATCAACACATTGAAGTGAGTATTTAAGGTGTATGTTCTATAGTTGTGTTTTAATATGAGAATGAGGTTACTGGTCGAATAGTCAGCAATGTACAGTCAAAGGTCAAAAGTCCACTGCCACCGTGAGTGATGTTCACACGGCAATGCGTGAGTAATTTCATATTAATGTGCATAAAAACGCGTGCGTACGCATAAACACACGCACGCGTACGCACACGGATACAAATAAGCGTGTGTATGTGTGTATAAGCGCTGCAGCGCAACCGATAGTAGTCTTACTTTTGACGTTTGACCGTACATAGTTGTAACTCTTGGGTGTTATGGGTGGTTCGTCACTTACCATTAGGACATCTAAGTGCTTGTTTACCTCCCATAACCTTTTCACTAGGATTTAATATTTTCTGCATCAGTAAACACTTTTTTAATTTGATTAAGATAAGGTTTAGTATCCCTTGTTAGTGATAGGCTAGCTCAGAATTGATGGTCATTTAATTTTATTTTGTAATGTATCTGCAGATGTTACGGTCTCCCCACGGATCCGTTGCCACTGTTACTGCAAGAGATGGCGGAGCATTACACTGAAGTGTTGATGCAAAGATGGGTGGTAGTCTTCAGGGATATACTCGACAATGCCTCTTTCCTACCTATCGAGGTAACTATTACAATTTATTTCTATACTTATCTACATCTTTTTGAGTTTGCATTTAGATATAGATGTGTAATAACCTTATAATTTTGTTAAGTAATTTGTATGAATTTTACGTGATTGTCAGACGAGGTTGCTCAACTAGTTTCATAGAAGGCAGGGCCCATAATCGTGAGCGAAAACTGTGACGCGCGTTGCGTAATCAACTAATTTATTTGTAAACTATAAAGTGTATGTAGTACTGTAGAATAGATATGATTTATAGTATTGTCTATATATGTTAATCTTGCCTGTGCACCTCCTCCTTGCGTTGGCCGAGTGGTCGCAAGTGCGACTGCCGGGCAAGGGGTCTCGGGTTTGATTCCCGGGTCGGGAAAAGTACTACTAGGTTTTTTTTAAAAATCTCAGTAGTAGCACGGAGTCTGGAATTGTGCCCGGTATATGGCATTAGGCTCACCCCCTATTACATGGGACTCATAACATAAATAGTAAAAAGTGGGTGTTACATTGTACAGCGACGTTACGAGCACTTCTGCCGACCCCTTCGGGGATAAAAGGCGTGATGTTATGTTAATCTTCTTTTTTTTCCAGGTAGAGAATCAAGACCAATACGACGGTGTCATGGACACGTTCCCCTACGATGGAGATGAATTAGAAATGCAACCGTTTCCGAGGAAGTCAGTAGTATTTCCTACTTAATTGCATAGCTGCGTAAATGGTGGCGAAATAAAAAAAAAACTGTTTGTATATCTGTGGCAGGTTCCCGTTCTCGAGCATAGTGCCGGGCGTGTACGTGCAGGTGAAGGAGTTCATCTACGCGTGGCTGAAGTACTCGGCGGGGCTGGGGCTGGGCGGCGGCCGGCGCGCGGCGGCGGCGCGACACTCCGCCTCCCTGCTGCTCAGTCGCTCCTTCACGGGCTGTCTGTCCGCGCTCTTCCGGAGACCACTGCCGCTCATGCAGCTCGTACAGGTGACACTACTTGTACTGTTCGACATCCTCAACATTAAACTCAAAGTCTAAGTCATTTATTTCAATTAGACCAGGAAGGCACTTTTGAACTTAAAGTATATTAAATAATAAAAAAAAAATGACAATCTGTAGGTCAGTCCTCTAGTGAAGCTATTTGCTCGTTCCAAAGTGTAGATTCCTATGGAGAAGAACGAGCAAGAAACTCCATAGGTTACTCTTTTTCAAACATGTACAGGAAGTAAGAAAGTACTACCTTTTAATGTGCTGATGTTTTAAGACTGCACGGTTGGTGCGGTGGCTGGGCAACCGGCTGCGGTGCAACGTGTCGCGGGTTCGATTCCCGCACGGAACAACACTTTGTGTGATCAACAAATTGTTGATTCGGGTCTGGGTGTCATTGTGTATGTGAACTTGTATGTTTGTAAATGCATCCACGACACAAGAGATAATCCTAGTGTGGGGCAACGATAAAAAAAAGAAATGTTAATCACATCGGCGTGCTCCATCGTCGATGACATCATCGCTTACCACCAGGCGAGAAGGTGGCCAAACGTCACTGTATTATGTGTAAATAAAATCTCTCCACCAGACGATAAGTATGGTCGTTTGTCTGCTATCCCATGAAAATTATTATCATTTCACCGCGAGGCTAAAGCTCAAGTTACCTTGGTCAATGTAAATAATAACTTTGTTTAATTTCAGATTATCGTGGACACGCAATACTTAGAAGGCGCGACATTATGTCTCTACGAATTCATCAGCAACATCACTGGCTCTGAACTAGTCACTACACAGGTACACATGAACTGTAATTTACTACAGCAAATTATCAACGGCTATTTTCCTAAATATTATCTTAAAAAGACTGCGTCGTTGGCCGAGTGATCGCAATTGCGACTACCGGGCAAGGGGTCTCGGGTTCGATTCCCGGGTCGGGTAAAGTATTACTGGGTTTAAAAAAAATCTCAGTAGTAGCACGGAGTCTGGAACTGTGCCCGGTATATGGCAATAGGCTCACCCCCTATTACATGGGACTCATAACATAAATAGTGAAAAGTGGGTGTTACATTGTACAGTGGCATAATGTGCACCTCTGCCTACCCCTTCGGGGATAAAAGGCGTGATGTTATGTTATGTTATGTAATATGATTTTATAATATTTTCTAAGAATTAGGCTAGTTACTGCACTTTTTTTATTTATGAAGGAGCGTTGCTTTTTCTTTAAAAGTATTTTTCCTACCTTAGGCGGCAGGCAGCATGTTCCAAGCGGCACGCGACGACGCCGAGCAACAGATCTGCGACAAACTGGAGAAGAAAGTTGACGAGTTCCTCGACCTCGAGAACTATGACTGGCTTTTAGGTAATTCGATATCATTAGATAAATATTTATAGAATTCTTAACTTTTAACTGCGGCTTTGATCGTGTGAAAGCCTAGCTCTTGTCCATACTTCCGAGTATATTTATACAAAATTTCAAGAAGTTTGGTCCAGTAGATAAAGCGTAAAGGAGCAAGAAACAAAGTTACTTTTGCATTTATTATATTATCTAGGATAGTGAATAACTTTTGAACAATGAATAAACAACACCATGTAACTCAGAAACTATGAATATCGAATTGCGAGAGTGCATCTGTACAGAGTACAGACATTATAACTATTAAATGTTTTTTCTTCTTTTATAATATCTTCTAATTCATTTCGTTGCGGGAACCACGACAGTTATTCATGTCCATGGGACGCGCCGGACTTCTGTTCCGGTGTTTTCAGGGTTGTATCTACTGTAGATCCTGGCTTACAGGAGTTGCAGCGGTATAGGGAGGTTGTGGCGGACTTGTCCCACAAAAAATACATTATAATTACTTCTATAAAGCCCGAATACTGAAAGGCTGCTGAATTTTTAGTTGTTATTAAATATCGTGCCATCTCTGTCATTTTACAAAGAATTGGTGGTGACATCTATACTTACGCCCGAATACTGAGTAGCCTTTCAGATGCCTTAGTACGAGTTTGATTTACGTAGTATCCGAAACGAGTACGCGTTCGGCGCTCTGATTGGTTGGTTCATTGGCGCCGGCCAATCAGAGCGCAGGCAGCTAAGGCCTCAGTATTCGGGCGTAAAGCAATTTCTTAAAAACTATAATGTGGAACAAGTCTTTTGCTTTGGGAGTATTTTCTCCTTATTCCAAAACTATACCTACTGTCATTGGTTGCAGTGGAGCCGACTGGTCAGGCGTCGTCCTTCGTCACGGACATGCTGAGCTACTTATCAGGCGTACTGACGTCACTGGAGCAACTGCCGGAGAGGGCCAGGTAACGATGATATGTAATTAAGAACGACATACAGTTTTTACGCTTTGTAGTTTGATGTTACACCACATAAAACATGTTAAAGACACATCATTATAGAAACTAAAAAAAATACAATTAATTAAAATTCGCGTTAAGTGGTCTTATAGCAAATGCCGCGTGTAGTTTTGTTTTATAATATTCACTTGCTAAATTGCCTCGTTGGTCGCAAGTTCGACTGCCATCTCGGGTTCGATTCCCGGGTCGGGCAAAGTATAAATGGGTTTAGAAAACAATCTCAGTAGTAGCACGGAGTCTGGAATTGTGCCCGGAAAATGGCAATAGGCTCACCCCGTATGTTACATTGTACAGTGGCATTGAGTACCGTAATGTGCACCGCTGCCTACCCCTTCGTATCTATTCCCAAAAAATTAAGGTTCAGATTGAAAATATTCTAAAATACAATCCGATTTGTTAACCAGAGTGGCAGCAGTCCGTGCAGCGACGAACCGTATCGCGAGCCGACTGCGCAACCTGTTGCTGGACCCCGCCGTCAAGCAGATCTCGTCGGGCGCGCTCGACCAGCTCAACCTCGACGTCATACAGTGCGAGCAGTTCGCGGCCGGGGAGCCCGTGCCTGGACTCAAGGAGGGAGAACTCTTGGAACATTTTGCTAGCTTGAGGTTAGTCTTGTATAGCTATATGTATATAGTTAGGAAGGATGATACGTTATAGAAGTTAAGGTAATGTAGAGATGGAAATATGATTGTAGTTATACAGGCGTGAAGTTGTGTGTGTTATAGGTACAAAATTGAAATAATATCATGATACTTATAAGTCGTTGGCCGAGTGGCTGCAAGTGCGACTGACGGGCAAGGGGTCGCGGGTTCGATTCCGCTAATACCGTTCGATTTCGGTCGGGCAAAGTATTACTGGGTTTTTAAAAATTCTCAGTATTAGCACGGAGTCTGGAATTGTGCCTATTACACGGGACTTATGACATAAATAGTGAAAACATTGTACAGTGACATTTAGTGCCGTAATGTGCACCTCTGCCTACCCTTCGGGGATAAAAGGCGTAATGTTATGTTATGTTATGTTAATAACAGTTATTGAGAAGACTGAAATAGACAGCCGGTTGTAGCCGATGGCAATCAGATAATGAGTCTATTTAGTATAAAAGGATTTAATTTTCAAAACCCGACTAGCATACAGAGGCCAACCTTATCTTATCAAAGTAGGATATCAATTAAAATCTTATGTTACAGGCAACTTCTCGACTTAATAACGGGTTGGGACTGGTCATCATACCTCCACGATGTCGGTATAGACGGCGGCAAGTACTCACTAGTGACGCCGCGCGATGCCGCCACGCTCCTCGAAAAACTCAAAGAAGCTGAACAGAAGTCTTCTGTCTTCGCCGTCCTCAAGAAGAATGAAAGAGACAGAAGGAAGCTACTCGACACCGTACTAAAACAATTAAAACAATTACAGAATCAAGACGGATCGTGAATCAAATGAACACTCAGTTGAGGTATTTAATGTCGTGTTTATAAAGTCTAAAATGCTCGAGCATTGATTTCCTCTTTTCAAAGTGTCATTTTAGTTATGTATTGGTTTTAGAAAATCAAAATTGTGTAATCTATCACCTTTTTTTATATCACTATACTTGTGGATCGCAAGTACTTACTTTTGTATAATAATCAAGTCACTTGGAATTGTTTGGAGTATACGAATTGGCGCTATGGAAACTAATACTAATTGTTTTTAAAAATTACTGTTTTTGTTTGTTGAACTTTATATAATTGGGTACTTTTCAACTAGTCAAATTCAATACTTTTTTCGGACTGTCAAAAACAACAGTTTTCTATGAATTTTGTACGAGATTGTGTATTGTGACGTCACGTTTTTAGCGTCAAAACATACATATTTCTTAAAAATTGGCTGGATAAATACTAAAATTAAGTTATAAAATCAATTTCATTAATTGTGATTATTTTTTTCATATTGTATTGTATTAAATAGTCGAAATAATTATTTTTGATTAAGGCAAGTACCTAATTGTGTTATCAACAAAAACAATTTTTTAGTGGTCTCTTCTTTGTGGTTCGAAAACTTGTAAAGTGGTCAAACCATCGGTATTGGAAATTACGCGCCAATTTCGGCCATTTTGAATTGTTTGTCTATTCTCTTGTTTTGTACAGCCAGTGTTCGCATAGAAACCACTTTATATTATTAAGTAATTGTATAGTTTAAAACTACTTAATTATATTATTAGAATTGTACAATATTGCCTTATCATGTAGTGATAGAAGCATTTATATAGATGTTAATTAAGCGTTAATATAGTAAAAGACATTGTTTATTGATTTTATTACGTAATATATTATTTATTATAACTTGTGTTTTTATGACAATCTTTATCAAAAAATAGTTTTATACTATTTACTTATTATATTCCCAACCTTATGACTTCGTAATAAGACTATTATTACACTAAACCTGATAAAAAAGTGGAACATGCAGAAAAACAGAGGTATCGTGACGTAATTGTTCTGTGTGGTCATATTTATAAAGTCTAGTACTTAGGTCAGGATAACCGGTAACAATACTAGGCCACGTGCTATCAAAATGATAAAAATATGAAGTTGACAAAAGTTTACTATACGTGCAAGAGACAATATTGCAAGACCTTGTCAATTATTAACCCACTGGGCCAGGGCCGCATTTAGATATAAAAGATAAAAAATGGCACCAAGGATAGAGGATGTATCTATACCGATATTCTAAGAGGATGGATAAATTGACCTGAAAAGATACGTGACAGATAATTGGCATTTGTCTTCTTTAGATGATTCTATGACGATTGTTCAGATTTTTTATAAGGGGTGAAAATCGTCGAATTACTGCTCCCGCCTGGGTGAGGTGCGAGGTATTTCAGATTCTTACTGACTAAAAACCACCCCGTTCCTTCTCATGTGCTTCGAACCGGAGCCCCGGTAACCCGTTAGATTCTCCGCAACAGGATTTTTCAGATTGGGGTCTAGACAAAGAACTATAGAAATATTGGCAAAAAAGATAAATGTATCTATTCATGTGTAAAAAAACTCTTACATACTTAAAAATCCTGTATAAATCCAGCTCTGTAGTTCAAAAAAATTAAATAATAATGAAACGTAAGCTTTATCATGATGTTGAGTGTTGATTAGTCTCAGTGAATTGATGGTAAAGATAAATGAACCCGTACAGTATTACAATGGCAGTCTATTAAATATGAGTCCATTTCACAAAGGATCCAGTTCTTGCACTCCAAAAAACTACAATAGTCACTGATATGATCTGCGTATTAATATAACAAATAGCAGCTTAGTCACTAAGTGTAAAGGGAGTGTTACACTTGCCATAAAGCATAGAATATGCTATTTAAGTAAGCATTTTAGTCTAGTTTTAGTTAATACGGTAGCCAATGACGTCATTAAATCTATTTATTTTTTAGAGAATATTATTATAGAATGTTCTTATGTTTATTATTGTTTATCATTTTGTTATTGGGACAAGCCCGTTACACTCAGGTACTTTTTACCACCCCAGGATGACGGGACAGATCTATTAGCGTAATTTTTCGACACAGGGACAATAATAGAACAGTACCTACCTAGCTTCTATAACTTAAGCTACTTTTCACCGAACCATAGCTAACTACATGAGTCTGTTGACTTCTTAAGATGTGTATTGCACAACGGTATCTGTCGATCTAGATCGGTGTTGATCGTATCGTGCTTATCTGCGCCCGCGCAGTGGCAAGGTCGGCGAGTGACCTTCAGGTCGGGTCACACACGGTACCCGTCATACGTGTATGTGATATTAGCAACACCTACTTAGGTATTTTTGAAGGAATACAACTTGATAGTCGGATAAAGAAGGCTCCTAGCTTTTAGGAAGAAAGATGAAAGGTTTCTTACATCGCTAAAACCACCCCAGTGGTCACTCATTATCAGTACAAGGGGATTTTTTTAAGGGGGAAAATCATCGAATGACTGCTCCCGCCTGGGTGAGGCGGGAGGGAGTGTCAGACTCTTACTGACTAAAAAACACCCCGTTCCTTCTCCTGCACGTCGAGCCGGAGCCCCGGTTACCCGTTAGGTTCTCCGCGACAGTACAAGGGGGTATAGATTATCAACCATAGAAGAAGGTTGTACTACTTTTAAACTTCCAATTCTGGGGAAATACCCAGCTATAATTAACTTATTTACCGAAATGATCGTAAACCGCTGTATGTAAGTAATTAAAACAAATATACGTTATTTCACAATACATGTACGAGTACATAACAGGCTATGACTAAACTCCGAAGTTCGCACCAAAGGCCTAACGTAATTCTTACTGTTCAAGGGCACCGATCAAAAAGTGGTTACATTAAAACATTTAACCCACATGTAGAGCAAGCCACATCGATCTTGACAAATGGACGACTCAAATGGCAAGCCTTATCTGATAGTACCTTGACGTGACGTGACACTGCACTCGCCTACTGAAATATGGACCAGGTTTTTGTACATATGTGCTTTTTAGATATATTTTTTTTAATTCACCTGTGCGCCAAGACGTATAACTCAAGTCTGGTTCACGTTGCTTTTCTGTAAGGCTGTGGTATAACTTGATAAACTCCGGTCGAGTTTATCAACTTGCGCCGAATACTTCGGCACGAATGGGCCGGCTCGACAACAGTGATATCACGGCCTCACAGAAAACCGACGTGAAACAACGCTTGTGTTTCGTCGTGTGAGTGAGGTTACCGGAGGTCCAATTACCCCACCCCCTCCCTAGTCTCCCGAATCCTCCACAATCCTCAAATTCCCAATTCCCAAAAGGTAACGCACTTGTAACGCCTTGGTGTTCCAGGTGTCCATGGACGGCGCCGATTGCTTACGATCAGGTGATCCGTTTGCTCGTTTACCGACTTATGCTATAAAAAAAAAAAACAAATAATTCTGTAATAAAGTTGAGACGATAAAACGAGAAATGTTATATGAGAAATTGAGAGTAATAGACATTTTCCTTATTAGCACAGAATAACTACACTGAAAAAAAATGTGAAACGTCAAGTTTTTTTATACTCGGTAAGGGTACTTCGATAATCTATAGACGAAAAGCTAAAAAGAGTATCAAGATAAATCTTCATTATCAAAATCATTTACTAACTCTCATAGTACTTTAAAATACCTATTATAGTCTAGTTTTAAATGCAGTCATTCGTAAAACTATAAAGCACAAGGAACATTATAAATGAACATGTCCAAAACTATAATATCAGATAATACAACCTTGTTACTTCGTGACCTGACTGATCTAGTTCTTTAGATTGTAGCGAAATTAAGACCTTATTGTGTGCACTAAATCCAGTCTAGATTTGCATTGATTAAGTTGGGTGACGAAAAAATTAGGTAAAACTTAGCCTAGTTAAGTAGATATCTAGATCTAGGTACGTGAGACTTATAAAATAATATAGTGATCTGAAAATGAAAATGTGGCGGTACGGTAGCATATTAAATTAGTCAGCGTTTAATCAGTCTCCGAAATTATATTTGGGGTGAAATTGAATCGTAAGGCAAGGAGATTCCAAAATCTATAAAATTATTTCTTAAGAAAAAATTTGATGGCATTTCGAGTAGGTACCTAAAATTACGGTCTGATTTTCAGATGTAAAAAACCATTTGATGCAGAAAAACAAATTAAATAAATCAAACTTTTATGGCACCATATGGTTTTTCAGAGGTTCGGTGCCAGTACGTTTTCTGTGTCAGCGTGTAAAAAGGTTAATTGACAACTAAAAAGTACGTATACAACCACAGAAATAAAAAATACTGTCCAATTTTGACAAAAAAACTTGAATGCCATTTATTAAAAAAAAATAATGTAGAAAAAAAAACTGTAATGGCATCTAACGATTTTTTCTGGTAAGTTGCCAGTAATCTTCAGTATCCAATAGTTTTCTTCAAGAAAGTTTTATTAGGTATTTCATATTTTTTTCACTCATAAGGTAGGGACATAAATAACTATTTTTTTATATCCATCGACATCGACTTAATTTGAAACAAATATTTATCTAAACCATTAATTTAATTCGTTGACCCTCCTTGTCTTAGAACAATACCATGTTACTAATGACCAACAAAACGCCCACGCGACAGCTGTACCTATGTATGAGATAATATCGACCATCATACAAACATTTATGTATCTGTCAGATAGTTACAAGTATGCAATAATGCTATTGTCAAAACTTACAACTGATTATCTATGTGTTATAATAACAACATACTATGATTAGTTTATCATGCTTGATAGCTATAATTTTCGCTGAGAATTGACAGCAGAAGTAAATAGGTACCTGAACTTATCAGGAAATAATGCAGTTTATACGAGGCCGTTTATACTTTGGTTGCTTTTAACTTTTATAATTGCAGAATTCGATTAAAATATGTTACATAGGTAATTCTTCAATCTTTATC